ATCTTCAGGAAGATATTGTCAGACCTGGCCAGCTTCAAGCTATTCTTCTGACCCCTTTAACTCCCAACCTGCTCCACAACTTGAAGCAATAATGCCATCCTCCAGGTGCCTCCCTAAACAACCGACTGATTGTGTCCTTCTTTCCTAGCAGTAAAAAGCTCTTAGCTAGTAAGATGGTGGCCCTCCAGATGAAATTAAATTCCTGTTGGCCTTGATGCTACAGCTAGAAGTCAGAATGAATGGAAACTGTACTTCTGAAATAACAATTAACACAGGACTTTCCTTCTTTCTTGAATTTCTTAAGCTTTCGAAACCTTACCCATGGCATCCAAATATAATTGATATTCAAATAGTTACTGTTGGATCTCTGGCGATACTGGCTCTTCCAGGAGAATTTTCGTATGTATTCCGTTTCTTCATATATCATATATGCAAAACATTCAAAAATTGTTTATTTGCATTAAGAATATGGCTTGTTCTGGAACTGCTCTGACACTGCACATTTGGGAATGATGTAGAGAAGAAGGGGGCCTAAACATCCTAAAGGCATCAGATGCCATAAGTAGGGTCAGTTTTGTTTAGTAGTTTGGATTGGAGATCACCAATAAATATTATTATAATTAATATGGTATTACCTTTACTTATATCTCTCAGAACTCAAAGTGTCTAACAATCACACAATCTAATAACAATTTAAAACAAATACAAAAATAAAAAAACCAAATAAATATTTGTGTTACAATAGAATTAAAATATAATTAATACAATTAAAATTACATTCAAAACTGACCATCCTCCCAGAATGCCACCCACAACTTCCCCAGCAGTATGCCTCTCATCCTCCCCTAAATGCCTGATAGCAAAAAATTGCCATGACCTGCCTGTGGTACGCCGGCAGGGATGGGGCCATCCTGGTCTCTCTTGGGAGCAAAGTCTGGGAGCAGCCACCAAAAAGGCCTCTTCTCTTTTCCCCACCAAATGCACTTGAATAGGACAGAGAGCAAGCCCTCCCCAGATGATCATAGATAGGTTCATAGGCAGAGGTCAAATAACCTGGACTGGGTCTAAAAATACTGGTTGTCAGGAGACAAATGGGAGAGGGAGACACCTACAACTATAAGGCTATTGTTTAATTTTCATAAGAAATTAATGAGTTTTTAAATAAACAGAAGTGGAAAAAATACTATTAAAATTATTATGTAAAATAGTAGTACAACATAAATGTTAGTTGCGTGCAGTAATTATATTTTCAAACTACGAAAAGGTCATTAATATGACCTACTTCTGAATATTCCTCGCCTAAAATAACCTTACAAAAAATATAGGATTGCTATAAGTTCACAGGCAACTTAATGAACTGGGAAAATAGGAAGAAAACAATGTAGCACCATGCTAATATATTCTAAGTCAACAAAGGACAACCTGATCCTTGTTTTACTTTGCAGTATACTTAGAACACAGTAGACACAGTCCAGTAAAGTTTAGTGAAATCTGAAAAGCTACGAACAAGTTATCTAGGAGTAGCTCTGGATTGAGCTACCCTACAAACGACACTGAAAACAATGGAATTTAAGTCAGTCATAATTTAGTTGGGAACAAATCCGTGGTGGGTCAAAATCCAGCATTTGGATTGGGATGACGAGAACTCCAAGGTCTTACTCTCCAAACACTCTCCTTTGTTCATCAATCTTCTCCATTTCAATAAGATCATGATGTGCAAAGCCAACTTTAGATCTGCCATCTAGAAGCATTACAACTCATCCCTGCTCCCTCCTTGCCATTTAGGAAAGGGTGACAAAGAACAGAGCCCATTCCTGTCCAAAACACCATGCGGATGAAGTCCAATAAGCATTTTGGCCAAGGATTCAGTACCCATCTGGGCATATCTGGGTGAACTCTAAGATCCTCTGGGGAGGCCCTCCTCTTGCTTCCACCACTGTCACAAGCACAGTTGGTGGGGACGAGAGAGAGGGCCTTCTTGGTGGTGGCCTCCCACCTCTGGAATGCCCTTCCAAGGGAAATAAGACAGGCCCCATCCGTCCCCTCCTTTTGTAAGAGCTTGAAGACCTGGTGGTTTCAACAAGTTTTTGAGAGTGACCAGTATTAGCCCAGCCCAGACATTGCCGGATACGGTCTTCCACCTCCTATTTATTACCCTGATCATTCCTCTAACAGGCCCCTGGAAATGAGCAGCCACAGGCTCATTCCTGCTATTGTTGTTAGTCTATTACAGTATTGTACCTATCTTCCAGGCCCATCTTATTTTGTTGTTTGTACCAGTCTAGCCCCGGCTTTTTTAATTGTTCTGACCCAATACTTACCATGCCCGAACAATTAAAAAAGCATGGAGAACAAGCCGGATCTCTTTTAATATATATGTGTTATTGGGATAATTTTATGCTTATGTTGTTAGTATTGTTATTTTTGCCTATGCTGTGGTTCTATATGAGCTGGTGTTGAAACCTGGAAGCTTCCCTGAGTCCCTTCGGGGAGATAAAGCTGTATATAAATAAAGATGATGATGATGATGATGATGATGATTATTATTATTATTATTATTATATCTATACCCAGATGTCATCCATCCTGCTGAGAGCTATAGGGCGGATCTGGCTCACCCCACAGAAAACAGTGTTCCAACCTATTCTTGCTAATGTGGTTCAATATGACCTTAGCTTGGTCAGGGTTGATATATAATTCACATTTCTACTGTCGTGTGTAATGTCCAGGACCAGGCCTGTAGCCAGGATTTCGTTTCGGGGGGGGGGGGCTGAATTTTTTTCAGGGGGGGTTTCGGGGGGGCTGAGTTTCGGGGGGGCTGAGTCTGAGTGAAAGAGGGTCTAGCCTAGCAAACCTTTTGTATCATTACCCCAATACCCCCATGCATATGGGATATATTGAGTATGGTGATCAGATCATGATATGAATAAACATAACAGTTTAAATAATGCACCAGTAAGGCCTTTTCGCGAACCAACATGAGAATTTCGGGGGGGGGGGCTGAAGCCCCCCGGGCCCCCCCCCCCCCCCCGGCTACATGACTGTCCAGGACTGACCTTGACATTCCATTCTACTAGTGACCTATAGACCTGAGGGGTGTCATGATAGCATTGAAGCTAATTCTATTGCACATTGTAAGGAAGATACAGAAACTGATGACACTTATTTTCTTGTCTCTCAGGACAATGTCTGGACGAAGAATACGTGAAGCAATAAAAAATGTAAGTCAGTAAGTTCAGAATTAGATAGCAAGGAGGAGCCCACAAGAAGAAACCGTACTCCTGATTCTCAGGTTTCTGAACCAATTGATTAATGTGTGGTATGAATCTGGGCAACATCTCTTTCCACCATTCTTGCCTTATGCTCTGCGGAAGAGAAGGTTGAGAGGAGACATGGTCACCATGTTTAAAGCTGTCATAAGGAAGAGGGAGCAGGCTTGTTTTCTTCTGCTCTGGAGACTAGGACTCAGCACAATGGGCTTAAATTACAGGAGACGAGATTCCACCTGAACATTAGGAAGAACTTCCTGACCATACGAGCTGTTCAACAGCCTTAAAGTATGGTGAAAGTTTCTTCATTGGAGGCTTTTAAACAGAGGTTGGGTGGCCACCTGTCGGGGATGCTTTGATTGTGATCTTCCTGTATGGCAGTAGGTTGGATTGGATGGCCCATGTGATCTCTTCCAACTCTATTATTCTATTATTCTAGATCACTACAGTCCTCCCATTCAAATTAATTTGTCATATTACTAGCATATTTCGATATTATATTCCAGTGATTCTCAACCTGGGGTCCCCAGATGTTTTTGGCCTTCAACTCCCAGAAGTCCTAACAGCTGGTAAACTGGCTAGGATTTCTGGAGAACCACTGTTATATGCCATGGTTGACCATGTACTTATTTGGAACCAGAGTTTTCAAAAACCAGACTTCCAAGGCGTGGAGAAGGGCTTGAGCTGTAAAGTTCCTTTGCTTCTTCTTTGCTTTTTAGCTGTGTGGTGCTATTTTTGGAGTTTCCCACCTACTGCCTTCTTCTCCTTCTACTCTTTGTTGTTCTGTTGTTGTTGTGGTGGTTGTTGTTGTTGTCGTCGTCTTCTTCTTCCTTCTTCTCTTCTTATCCTCCTCCTTTTCCTCTTTCTCCTAAGACAGGGGTCCTCAAACTAAGGCCCGGGGGCCGAATACGGCCCTCCAAGGTCATTTACCCGGCCCTCATTCAGGGTCAACCTAAGTCTGAAACTACTTGAAAGCACACAACAACTACAATAATCCTATCTCATCAGGCAAAAGCAGGCCCACACTTCCCATTGGAATACTGATAAGTTTATATTTGTTAAAATTGTTCTTCGTTTTAATTATTGTATTGTTTTTATGTGGTTTTTTTGCACTACAAATAAGATATGTGCAGTGTGCATAGGAATTCATTCATGTTTATTTCAAATTATAATCCAGCTCTCCAGTAGTTTGAGGGACTGTGACTTGGCCCTCTGTTTAAAATGTTTGAGGACCTCTGTCCGAAGAGATATAAGTCCCTTCTATTTCCCTCTTCCAATTTGGTTATTTACTATTGCATGCCACTTGGATAATTATGGAAAAACAGCTCCAGTTGCACAGTTGCGACCATCACTTGATGACTCTATGAGAATGCTGCAATGAAAAACAGATCTAAGTGCACCACTCTGACAGGCATCCAGGCCTAAAGGATGAAGCTTGAACTAACCATTTCATGGGATACCTTATTATGTCAGCATTGTCCAAGTAACCTTCGTCATTCCTTGCATTTTTGAGATTAACATATCTAGCATATATCTAGAATATCTAGCATAATATATTAAGCACAAATTTTTGTTTGAATAGATGGGAGTAGAAAATGCATGCTGAATTTATTTTAATCAAACCATGGAAACATTTCTGTGAACTACAACTTCCAAAAATCCCCAGCTAATTTGGCCCTTAGTTGTGGGAGCTTTAGACCACAAAGTAAAGTCTACAAACCCTTCATTTTCATGAGACACGAAAAAAGTCTGCTTCAAGCAAACGAATACAGCCATCCTTTAATTTTGGAGAATAGATAGGTAGATAGATAGTGTTGATACCTATTTTCAATATTTTGTTTATTCTTTTTACATTACATTGTATACAATATCATATATAGTCCTATACGGTTCTGGCTCAGCTTACTTGTCTCTATGTCCCACCTCGCAGTTTAAGATCATCCGGGAAGGCCCTGCTCTCACTCCCGCCAGCGTCACAAATACGTCTGGTGGGGATGAGAGACAGGGCCTTCTTGGCTGTGGCCCCCCACCTGTGGAACTCGCTTCCCATTGAAGTAAGATCCGCTCTGTCCCTCCTGCCATTTAGGAAGAAATTGAAGTCGTGGTTCTGAGACCAGGCATTTGGACAACAGACATAGATAGACTTTGGACAGGGAATTGGATATGGAATTGACTGGATTTATGTTACGACTATTAATACTGTTTTTACTGTTTTAATTAATGTTTTACTTATTGTTTTAATTGTTATTATATTGCTGTGTTATGTAGTGGCATCAAATTGCTGCCAAATGTAAGCCATCCTGAGTCCCCCTTCAGGGGTTGAGAAGGAATGGGATAGAAATATCGGAAATAAAATAATAATACAACGTCATGCTAAAAGGTCAAAATGGAAATGGTATATAAACCCCCCAAAAGAATGAATGTGAATGGCCATTTCTGCTAACAGTTGTTTGGATACACTCATTTCTTAGGAATTGGAAAGTCACGGGACAACTGAAATGAATGTTGTACTGTCAGGACTGTGCAACATTTACACCCATTATGTTGCTACTTATGAAGAATATCAGGTATGTAAACTAGCAGTACTTATTTTTAATGTCCAGTCATCTTCTATGAGGATTGCATACTTCCTAAAATACTTGGTTTTCCTGAAAATGAAAAATTAGTAACTGCTCGCAGGAGTTAATGTAGAAAGATTTGGTAGCCCAAAATGCAGTGTGTCTATGTGTAGATTATGCTGTTATTATAATCTGAAGTACTTTGGCCACATCATGAGGAGACAGCAAAGCCTAGAGAAGACAATTATGCTGGGGAAAGTGGAAGGTAAAAGGAAGAGGGGCCGACCAAGGGCAAGATGGATGGATGGCATCCTTGAAGGGACTGGACTGACCTTGAAGGAGCTGGGGGTGGTGACAGCCGACAGGGAGCTCTGGCGTGGGCTGGCCCATGAGGTCACGAAGAGTCGGAGATGACTGAACGAATGAACAACAACATAATCTGTCTACTATATAATAACCCAGAGTTTTCCAAACATTTCATGTTGGTGGCACATTTTTTTAGACATGCATCATTCAATAATTTACGAGCAAACCGGAGATTAAACCAACCCCTTATACAAGATACAGAAATATACCATATATACTCTAGTATAAGCCAACCCGAATATAAGCCAAGGCACCTAATTTTACCACAAAAAACTGACTCAAGTATTGATGCGAGTATAAGGTCAGGATGGGAAATGCAGCATCTACTGGTAAATTTCAAAATAAAAATAGATACCAATAAACTTATATTAATTGAGGCATCAGTAGGTTAAATGCTTTTGAATATTTACATAAAACTGTAATTTAAGATAAGACTGTCCAACTCTGATGAAACCTTTATTCTCACCTTCTTCAGTGGAAATGTGCTTACGTATTCTTCCAATAATAATAGAGTAAAATAATAAATGTAATAATAATAAGTGTGCTGGCACGGCAGTGCCAGGAGATTTGAATTCATTTTCTTGCACTGCTAGTTTGCATGAATCTATTTAAGTCATGCATTTTGCAAACAGGTAGCTTCCCTCAGGTTGCAATCATAGGGCCAACAACCTGCCTATCATCGTTAGAATTTTTAGACCCACCCCTTTTCCCAGGGTTTTTGGAGGGAAAGGAGGACCTTTGTTCAGTCTCACTGTTTGAAGCCTAACAACAGGATGTGTGGGATTCTCTTTCCCACCTGCACAAAGGCTTCACTTCTCACAGTTTTTGCTGGGGGTTAAAGAAATAGTTCCTACAGCCTTCGTGGAGAAACTAAAGGACACCTTTCAGCTTGGCGGCTCTACAGGAACCTTGCCTAGTAAGGGACCACTCGGGCTATCCATAAAGCAGCTTGGAGCCGGGAGTAGGGGCCTCATGCCAGCAAGGTAAAGAGAGATTCCCCGGGGAGGGGGTCAAAGGATTTCCCTAAGGAAGAAAGGAACAGTTTACCACCAGTAGCCTGCCCCCTTGTTGGCAGATTGAGGAAGCTACCGGTTTTCTAAGGTTATAAAGTGTTTAATTCATTTGTTTGAAGATTTAAGCCCAAATAAAGAACTTTGTTGAACTTATCTTGAGCCTCATTAGAACTTTGTGTTGGGAAATCTAAAGGGCCCTTCAGCTGAGGCACCCCGGCGTCCCGTTGGGCATACAGAGAGCACATCCTGTAAACAGACATTATTTCAGCATGCAACAGCACAAGAAGAGTAAAATAATAAATGTAATAAAACAATATATATAATAATAATATAGTATAATAATGTAATAATAATAATAAATAGAGTAAAATAATAAATGTAATAAAATAATACTAATAACATAGTAAAATAATAAATAACCTTGACTTAAATATAAGCCAAAGGGAGCTTTTTCGGCCTGAAAAAGGGGCTGAAAAACTAGGCTTATACTTGAGTATATTCAATACATACATTTTAGTAATCAAATGTATAGAGACACAATATATCTCATGAAAACTTTTCATTTATATTTTTAATTATATATCAGTTGTAAGATAATGGCATACTTTTCCAAGATTTTTTGTCATTTCTCATTTGTACAACAGACTAACACACTGCAGTCAACACAGTAACATGTCATGACACCCGGTTTGGAAAGCTCTGTAATTATCTGTTGAACATTGAATACTCTAAACATTCCTGCATCTCTGTCTCTCACCTCATAGATCCAACGATATGAAGGCGCATCTACCCTTTTCGGACCACACACTCTTTCTGCCTATATCCAATTATTCCGAGGTCTAGCGAAGGCTCTTGCTGAGGTAATAAAAAAGTAAACAAATGCACACGTAAGAACTGGGACCTATAACATATTTCTGATACTCTGCTTAAATGGAATCAGAATTGTAGCTACTTCCTTTTTCATTTCAGTTCAGTTAAAAATATATATTTTTAAATTAAATATGAAACCTGGGGATCACAACCAGAAACAGTGAAGACATCTGCCCTTGCACTTTGCTACTCTGCTGCTGAGTACCCATGCCCAGTGCAGAATACATCTCACCACGTTAAAACAGTGGATATAGCTCATAATGAGACATGCCACATTATCACAGAATGTCTATGCCCAACACCACTGGAGAAATTATACTGTTTAACTGTTTAACTGGTATTGCAACATCTGACATCTGTCGGGAAGTAGCAGCCTGTAATGAAAGGAACATGACATTGACATCTCCGGCCCATCCTCTATTCGGATATCAGCCAGCAAGCCAATGCCTTGAATCGAGAAATAGCTTCTTAAGATCTACAGAAATATTTTCAGGAACACCTCAGCAAGCGAGAGTCCAAAGGTGGCAGGCAAAAACTCGAAACCTCAATCAGTGGCTGATAACAGATGAGGGACATCCTCCTGAACACACAGAAGGTTGGGAGACAGAAAAGGCACTGAATAGGCCGAGCTCTGGCACCATGAGATGTAGAGCTAGCCTTAAGAAATGGGGTACATAGTGCAGTCCACGTCATGCGAGTGTGGATAAGAGCAAACTACAGACCACCTACTACAATGGAACCGGAGCTCTGCCACATGGAGGACCTTCTTACAGTAACACCAGAGGCACTCCAAGTAGCCAGCTTCTGGTGAAAGGACATTTAGCATAATGCCAAGTTTTTAACTTTGTTTGTGGTTTTTAAATACATTATAACTGTACCCAATTCACTTCTGACACGATAAATAAATTTATTTTTTTTAAAAAAAAACAACATTTATTTCAGGGCACAGCACGGGACTTACCAAATCTCCCAGAGCCACCTATTTTGAATGTTACAGAGCTGACCTTTCTGCCTATCATCATTGATGCAAAGCCACTTGGTCGTAACTATGGAGATGTGCTACAAGATGTGCAACCCAAATACCGCATGGTAGGTACACTGTTGCTGCATTACAAAACATTGCACTTTCAACAGGAAATAATGTGTATAGTTTCCTAAAGCTCCCAATAAGCTAATACTAAACTCGATCTCCATGCTTGTTGTTATGTAGCCAAAATTGTTATCCAAAGTTTGCTGAAATATTATTTTGGGGATGGAAACAACTCTGCAGGGACCACTCCATTGTGCAGCAGTGGACTGGATCTGTGAAGGCATAAGTAGTGTAGAGAAGAAGAAGAAGAAGGAGTATCCCGAAGAGTCTTTTGGGATATCAGTTCATCCTTATGTCAAACACAAAATGAATTGCTGGAATCATTAAAGCTGGAATTTGTCTGGAATTTGCACACTTTTCCTGACATTGTACAAGGAGGCAACAAGCAGCTTCTTATGCAACAAGTTTTACCCAAGTTGTGAAACTGATGTACAACTTCATACCCAAATGGCCATTGATTGGTTGCTGGGAGACGTCCCATGTATTCTTCCATGCTGGCAAACATGTCCTTTGTGGATCCCCAGCTTCTTGGACAACAAGTTAAACATGAACGAACAATGTCATCCCGTAGCTTTAAAAGCCAATGGGATTTTGGCCTATATAAATAGGAGTAGTGCTTAGATCAGGGGTCCTCAAACTAAGGCCCGGGGGCCAGATACAGCCCTCCAAGGTAATTTACCCGGCCCTCACTCAGGGTCAACCCAAAGCTGAAACGACTTGAAAGCACACAACAACAATAACAATCCTATCTCATCAGCCAAAAGCAGGCCCATATTTCCCATTGAAATACTAATAAGTTTATATTTGTTCAATTTGTTCTTCATTTTAATTATTGTATTGTTTTAAAGTGGGTTTTTTGCACTACAAATAAGATATGTGCAGTGTGTATAGGAATTCATCATCCTTTTTTCAATTTTTTTTCCGGCTCTCCAACAGTTTGAGAGACTGTGACCTGGCCCTCTGTTTAAAAAGTTTGAGGACCCTTGGGTTAGATCCAGGGAAGTCATGTTACCTCTGTATTCTGCCTTGGTCAGACCACACATGGAATACTATGTCCATTACTGGGCACCGCAATTTAAGGGAGATGTTGACAATCTAGAATGTGTCCAGAGGAGGGTAACTAAAATGATCAAGGATCTGGAGAACAAGCACTATGAGGAGTGGCTTAAAGAGCTGGGCATGTTTAGCCTGAAGAAGAGAATGCCGAGAGGGGACATGATGAGGGACATGTATAAATAAATATATGAGGGGAAGTCATAAGGAGGAGGGAGCAAGCTTGTTTTCTGCTGCCCTGGAGACATGGAACAATGGCTTCAAACTACAGGAAAGGAGATTCCACTTGAACATTAGAAAGGACTTCCTAACTGTAAGAGCTGTTCAACAGTGGAACTCTCTGCCCCAGAGGGTGGTGGAGTCTCCTTTGGAGGTTTTTAAACAGAGGCTGGATGGCCATCTGTCAGGGGTGCGATTATCCTGCTTCTTGGCAGAGGGTTGGACTGGATGGCCCACGAGGTCTCTTCCAACTCTATTATTCTGTTTGTTTTAATCATACACAATATTGTGTTTGTTAACACACAAAATAAAGCAAATGGTTGTGTAGTTGGCTGTCAGTGTCACCTGCAGCGGATTTTTGTTTGGTTTTAAGATCTCACAGTTCTCCTCACTTAGAGACCCTTCGTCAAATCAGAAAGAGGGTTCTTCTGACGGATCTGAAAGAGATAATGCTTCCAGTTCAACCCACATATCTACATATTTAGTTAGTGGGCCAACAACCATTGCAAATAGTTACACTCAGCGAAAAGTCACTTAAAACAACCAAATTATACAAACCTGATTTCATAAGTTGTATCAAGGAACAATATTTGATAACTTGCATTCTCATATTTACAAAATACGTGGTACATTTTGACACTATATATTCTCTTGCATATTCAGGGAGAGGTTGCTGAAGTGCGTTTTGTTGGTGCAAATCCAAGGAATTCGGCAACAAACTTGGTAAGAATATTAAGGAACTGATTTTTGTTTGGGGCCCTGACATTTATGTGCCTAAATCTGAAGTGCTAGAAATACAGACATGAGGATAGAGAGGAGGAAACATAGATACTCAGACTGTAAGACGGGAAATGACAGCTTGAATCTTCTTAGTTCCCACTGGGGCACACCCATGAAGCTAATGGAAAATACATATAAGCTATACATATTGGGGGCCACAGTGACTCAGTGGGTTAAACTGCTAAGCTGCAGAACTTGCTGGCTGAAAGTTGGCGGATTGATTCCGTGGGACAGGGTGAGCTCCCATTGTTAGCCCCAGCTTCTGCCAACCTAGCAGTTTGAAAACATGCAAATGTGGATAGATCAATAGGTACCACTTCGGCGGGAAAGTAACAGCGCTCCATGCAGTCATGCTGACCACATGACCTTGGAGTTGTTTACGGATAATGTAGCTTTTTGGCTTAGAAATTGAGATGAGCACCATCCCCCAGAGTTGGACTTGACTAGACTTAATGTCAAGGGGAAACATTTACCTTTACAATGTACAGGTTTCTTTAAAAGCCATTGTGTCAGTAGAGGCACAGCTGGTTGGGAGTGAGCTGCATTAAAATCACGACTGACCAAAAGATCATGAGTTCGAAGCCAGCTCAGGTCGGAGTAAGCTCCCAACCATTTGTCTAGCTTGCTGTTGACCTTTGCAGCTCGAAAGACAGTTGCATCTGTCAAGTAGGAAATTGAGATACCGCTTTATTCGGGAAGGCTAATTTAACTAATTTATGACGCCATAAAAATCTAAAGCAGCATACAAAGAATGAGGAAGTACCTCATTGGCATCACAAGTGGATGGTGAAGCGACAGCTCCCTGGTGGCTGGAATTCAAACATACCCTCATGAAGCTGGACTGTTAAATAGCCTCTGTGTCTGTCTATATATGCTGTGTGTCTATGAAATTGAATGTTTGCCATTTATATGTGCATTGTAATCCGCCCTGAGTCCTCTGCAGGGTGAGAAGGGCGGAATATAAATACTGTAAAAAATATGCATTTTCAGATGCGCTGTTTACTACCTTGCTGTTTAATTTCTGTTATTTTGATTTCTTTCCAGACCGACTTTACTTTCCTTACAGTAGAAAAATATGACAATACTTCAAGTCATTGGAAAGTGATGTATAATGATGCCTCCTGGGACACTAGGTGAGCAATTCGACAAGACTTCATATGTTTGTCAAAGAAATGAACAAACAAAACTCAGATCTAGTCTGAGGATTTATTGCAATAAATAGCTCAGAATTTGGTAACAGCTTTGTGAATGTATTCATTCACAAAGTATCCTTAGCAAAGTACCACATACATGATCATATATAAGTTAACCTTATTTATAAGTCAAAGGTTTTGGGATAAAATTATGGATTTTGATATGACTTGTGGGGGATTACTCCACTGAGAAAGGAATGCACCAATGCCATTTAATGGGATCAGTTGCCCCTGGCTGTCACTACCATTTTCCAAAAGAGATGCCATGGCACAAAGACTAGAGGGGGTCAGTGATTTTTTTTATTACAACTTCTAGACTTATACATGAGTATATACAGTAGACTCTCCCACAAGCTTCCCATGCAGCTGATGCCTGGTAAAATAGGTTTTTGTAACAATACTACCACAAATTGTGATGAAGAAGTACTGTATATACTCGAGTATAAGCCGGGTTTTTCGGCCCTTTTTTAGTGCTGAAAAGACTTCATCGGTTTATACTTGAGTGAGGGTCCTGGTCAGCTTATTTTCGGATCGGCTTATATTCAGGTCAGCTTATACTCAAGTATATAGACAATGAAAATTAGACATTTTTATCTAAAAATTTGATGACACAATTCCCAGCTGTATCTACTTGATTGTTGCACTTTCCTTGCGCTCCTTTCAGGATGTATTGCACTCATTGAGCCTGATCCTCAGCTATGTTCTTTTTCTTAACCATATTGTTTTGATGTTGTATACAATTGTGATTGTTTTTATTTTTTATCTGATGTTTTTTAATTGGTTGTGTTCTATTTGTAATTTTTGGGCTTGTCCCTTGTAAGGCACCCCGAGTCCACTTGGGGAGATGGTTGGTGGGGTATAAAAATAAAGTTGTTATTATTATTATTTTAAAAATAATTAAATATTCAAAAATATTTAACCTATTGATGACTCAATCAATGTAATTTTATTGGTATCTATTTTTATTTTTGAAATTTACCAGTAGCTGTTGCATTTCCCATCCTCGTCTTACACTCTATTCAATAAGTTTTCCCAGTTTTTGTGGTAAAATTAGGTGCCTTGGCTTATATTTGGGTTAACTTATACTCAGTTATATAGGTAGTTGTGAATACAAAACAATTATGGATGAGAAAATCAGTTCATGAACATTGCTTAGTTATTGTGCCAGCATAATCTACAATACCAGATATCAATTGCTTGGGGAGAAAGAGGAGAACGATCAGGTAGCCAATATAGAATTCTCGCTATATCCCCTTTTGTGTTCCATACAATATGGTAGAATCCCCCTTTTAAAAGATCTTCTATCCTTGAAAATATGGGAAAATATTTAGAAAAAGCCTGCGTCCCATCTGTGCTCTTATCTTAATTAGCTATTTTAAAAAACTAAGGCAATGATTTTGTAAAGGTGGAATTTGCAAGCGGGGGTAATGCTTATTTCTATTGAGCTCTGGAAATATAATGTTCAGTGAAAAAAATACTACAAAAAGGAAGAGATAAAATTCTATTGGGGGTAAGGAGCACACAACTCACATATGCACCCCCTTCAAGGCCATTTTCACCACCACCATCCCTTTTAAGGCACAAGAAATTTTAACAACCAAACAAATCACCAAATTTCAACAGTAAATTGAGAACATATTTAAGAGAAGCACTGTCTTTGCTTTTCATGGCTTACAAGTAGTTTACAGCCAATTTCTGGTGGCAAACAAAAAACCCAACTTAAAGTAAACATTTTCTGGCTCTAAAGGGTTTGTTTGGGGGAGTGGGGTGAGTTTCTGCTGTTAGCCCCTGCTTCTGCCAACCTAGCAGTTCGAAAACATGCAAAAGTGAGTAGATCAATAGGTTCCACTCTCGCAGGAAAGTAACAGAACTCTTTGCAGTCATGCTGGTCACATGACCTTGGAGGTGTCTACGGACAACGCCGGCTCTTTGGCTTATAAGTAGAGATGAGCACCAACCCCCAGACTTAATGTCAAGGTGAAACCTTTACCTTTACTGAAGGGTTTGTGGTGGGATGTTTCCATTTTTCAGCTATTAATGGTGAGGGCTAAATCTGTGGTGAGTCCTTGGGAAGATAAAATTGGCTTTGAGAGAGTATAGTTTCCGATGCTGATTTGATATTGCTAAACACAGTTCTGGAATTAGGATCATGGAAAGAAAGCAATCAATCTTATACAAATGTTTGCTCTTAATTGTCTCAAGTTTCCACCTGCTAGATTTTCCGATTTTTAAAAACCAACACTATCAGTTTCTTGTATTTTAACATGTGTGTGTATCATTGACAAACTGAGCAGATTTCCATTGGTTTAATCCATGTTATTTGCTTCCCCCACAAGGTTCACATGGCAAAAAGGCAACTGGGGACGCAGCACATCTATCGTTCAGTGGCACATCCAAAACAACACTGAGCCAGGAACCTACAGAATACAGTATTTTGGCCACAGCAAAGAATTACTGAGGTCGATCCGTTCATTCAGCGGCTCTTCCTCGCAATTTGAAGTTTCAGGCTGAAACGTGAAATAGTGAGATTTGTAGTTTGTTCCATTTTTAATTTTGAATGAAAGGGAGATAATCATGCAGTATATCTGCCTTGGCAACAGTTCACAGCATGTCTCACTGTATCTTTAAAAAGTGCAGTCATAGAGAGTTGCAGCAGAAGTCACGCTCCATGGCTGTATTAGTGCGATTGTGCAATCAGTCTTCACATTTTGCTGCCTTGTTCACTACTGTGCAGGAGACAACTGCAACGTCCATTGGCTGCTTGCCCGTGGAAGTGCATTTAAAGGACAGCTCACCTCCATCTCTTCACAAGAACAGGTTGAGTGTTCTTTGTCCAAACAGAAGAGTTTTGAATTTGGATTTTTTGAATTTTTGAATACAGTAGAGTCTCACTTATCCAACATAAATGGGCCAGCAGAATGTCGGATAAGCGAAAATGTTGGATAATAAGGAGGGATTAAGGAAAAGTCTATTAAATGTCAAATTACATTATGATTTTACAAATGAAGCCCCAAAACATCACGTTTTACAACAAAACAACAGAAAAAGCATGGTAACGTTATGTAATAATTACTATATTTACGAATTTAGCACCAAAACATTGCAATGTATTGAAACAGCTGTGGATCCAGGCAGGAGGCAGACTACATTGGATAATACAGAACATTGGATGAGTGAAGGTTGGATAAGCGAGACTCTACTGTACCTGTATTTGCATATACAGTATGTGCATAATGAGATATTTTGGAGATGGACCCCAAGTCATGACATTTATTTATGTTTTATGTTCACTTTATATGCATAGCCTAAAGGTATTTTTGAATAATTGCTTGTGTACATTGAACTACCAAAAATCAAAAGTGTTCATATTTCAGCTACTCATGTGGATGATTTTGGAGGATTCTGAATAAGCGAAGCTCAACCTGTGCAAGTCTTTGGGTGTTGAAAATGAAGTCTCTGCTCTTACTCCAACGAATGACTCATTACAGTTATCTTTAACAGCACAAGCCTAAGCTTCTCTACTCTGAAGGATTCTCAGTGGCACTTGCTCCCTACTAAGTCTAGGATTTCAGCCCATGCCAGGCTGCAATTTCTGGGCATTGAACTATTTGGCACAGTAGTTCCATTTGGTGTTATGATGAGAGCTGCCGATGTACTATCTACCAGATTGGAGCTTATATGCTCTTTGACATTTATGATTTGCAACCTAAACTTATGTTCAATAAGACTATGTACTCTTACTGGAAACGTACATAAATGTCGTCCCAATCCACTAAGAGCCAGCTGACAAATTGAGTGAAGGCACATTCAACTTTTGGGTGGGGTACCAAAAATACAGTGTTTCTACTCCATTTCCAATAATGAGCAAACTTATGACAAGAGCAGAACTCTTGACATAAGTCGTTGTTGCAGCTTTGCTCACTGCTGGAAATGGTGTCTTTCTTGTGAGTGAAACGTTAGGAGAGAATGCTTCTAGAACATGACTATACAGCCTGGAAAACTCACAGCAACTCCGTGTCTTCCTTGTGCCCAGATCAGAAGCTGAACCAACCCTTTTCACACTATAAGCAGAGTCTTATGGTGGGCAGAGATGAGTAAGTAGACAACCTTTGAAGAATGGCAGCTACAGATAAACAAAGATCTGTACTGCTAAAGCTAAAACAATCTGTGAAACCTGGGAAGTAGAGTCAAGTCAGACAAGGTTCGCCATGAGAGTCCACTCGCACTCAGTTAAAAACGAAGTACGAGGGTTGAATGAAAAGTAATGCCTCCACCTTTGTAACTCCTCAACAGATGGCAGTACTGGTATGCGGCAGGTACTGGCTTGTTCAGTAGACTCTCCTCTACAGCTCCATTTTGGTGGGAAGCCTTAGCATTGAACGGTTGTGTTGTTAAATGCAAAGTATGGAACCCTGTGCAGATGGTCGGTCAATGCGACATCTTTAAACTTACTCACCCAACAATGCACAGTACTCACATCAACACAATCACCATAAACAGCTTGCATTCTCTGATGAATCTCCTTTGGGGTGAGACCTTCTGCTGTCAAGAATTCAATGCTTAAGTCGCATTGACCGACCGTCTGCGCAAGGTTCCATACTTTGCACTTTAACAACACAACCATTCAATGCTAAGGTTTCCCGCCAAAATGGAACTGTAGAGGAGAGTCTACTGAACAAGTCAGTGCCTGCTGCATACCAGTACTGCCTTCTGTTGAGGAGTTACGAAGGTGGAGGCATTACTTTTAATTCAATCCTTGTATATATCTGCAGTGATACCTGAGCCATTTCTGCTGTCCTACATTTCATCCCTATCCCATATAGCAAGCTTCTGGAGAAGCGGTATAAGCAAAAAACAATAAGCTGTATCCTTGAGTCAGCATTAGGATTTCACTACTTAGTTCTAGATACTCTCTTCAGTGAACCAGGACTGTATGATGTGAAGTCTGGGAATCTATAAAGAAAGAACCTTCTCTGCAACTAGGAGAAGAACTTATTGTTGGCCAAGACCTACGGGAAATAATTCAGATTGTTACTCAGTAATTCAATGTAATTAAAAATGAATAAAATATATATGTTTCCATAACTGCATCTGTCAAATCATTGGTACAGTAGTTCAGCTTTGGGGAAGTTTGAATTGCTGAGGAAAGAGTTTTAATTATATGCTTAAATTGTTTATAAATGCCTGTCCAAGGGAACTAATGATCTTAAGTTTATAGAAGGTGAGACTGCAGAATAATTTGCTGGAATGGCAAACACTAGCATGTCCAAAAAACTAAAAGAAATATCAGTGTTTGGCTTTTAAAAAATCAAGTGCTTTATTCATGCCCGCTTTCAGACTGTGTTAGGCTAGAAGTGGGCAACTGCGAGGCCAGAAGACCACATCAGCTCTCCAGCAGACATTGGAGGCCACAAATACATTGCAAAAAACCTCATTTTAAAAAAATATCAATTTTCCCCCTCTTTCTTCTGGCATGATGTATACCAAATAGTATTATACGTGAAAAAACAGACTGCCTTCTGAAGAATATGACGGAAAACATTTAATATCTGGTGACGTTTTTGGAAAAGCAGACAGGATACACCTTGCCAATTCAATTTACTGAAGATCTCTTACATAATGCCTACTGTTTCAGATTTCCCAAGCAAGAATTTGAAGCTTGTCAAAAAATGCCCATGAGGTCACTCAACAAGAATGCATCCACGTGGATGGATGCCTTTATGAATTGCACAGTCTCCCATGAATGACTCAAAATAGTGGAATCTGTATTCCACTAGCTTTGCTGTAAGGAGCCAAATTAAATCAAAGCAGCAGAAGTTTATGAGTTTATGAGTTTATAAAAGACTAGCCATCCCCTGCCACGCGTTGCTGTGGCCCACACGGGGGTTGTGTGTGGGAGATTTGGCCCAATTCTATCGTTGGTGGGGTTCAGAATGCTCTGTGATTGTAGGTGAACTATACATCCCAGCAACTACAACTCCCAAATGTCAAGATTCTATTTTCCCCAAACTCCACCAGTGTTCACATTTGGGCATATTGAGTTTTCGTGTAGAGTTTGGTCCAGATCCATCATTGTTTGAGTCCACAGTGATCTCTGGATGTAGGTGAACTACAACTCCAAAATCAAAGGACACTGCCCACCAAACCATTCCAGCATTTTCTGTTGGTCATGGGAGTCCAGTGTGCCACGTTTGGTTCAATTCCATAATTGGTGGAGTTCGGAATGCTCTTTGATTGTAGGTGAACTATAAATCCCAGCAACTACAACTCCCAATGTCAAGATTCTATTTTCCCCAACCTCCACCAGTGTTCACTGGTGGTCATGGGATATCTGTGTGCCAAGTTTGGTTCAATTCCATCGTTGGTGGGGTTCAGAATGCTCTTTGATTGTAGGTGAACTATAAATCCCAGCAACTACAACTCCCAAATGACAAAATCAATTTTTTTGAGTGAAGGGCATACATTGGGTTGTTAGGTGTCTTGTGTCCAAATTTGATGTCAATTCGTTCAGTGGTTTTTGAGTTCTGTGAATACCACAAACAAACATTACATTTTTATTTATATAGATTATCATTTGCACCTCCTCTGTACACCAATTCCCCAAGTTACCTGAACTGCTGAATTTCAAACAAATCTAATTTCTAAAATATTTCCGAATCGAAAAGCCTTTGTATTGCTCTCTTAATATTAATTATTTTCATACTCTTTTGAAGTGGAAAATCTCCAGGAATCAATAGCTTTCCAAAGTGTATCTCAGTTTATTGTCGAAGGCTTTCGTGGCTGGAATCACTGGGTTGTTGAAGGTTTTTCGGGCTATATGGCCATGTTCTAGAAGCATTCTCTCCTGACGTTTCACCTGCATCTATGGCAAGCATCCTCAGAGGTAGTGAGGTCAGACCTCACAACCTCTGAGGATGCTTGCCGTAGATTCTCAGGAGAGAATGTTTCTAGAACATGGCCATATAGCCCAAAAAACCTACAACAACTCAGCGATATCTCAGTTGTTTATCAAATCTAGACACAACAGATCATTACAGCTGATTCTGTGACAGTTAAAATAGGGTCAACTATGGTATAAAACATATATCCAGGAAAGCCCCTTTGCAAAATATAGAGACACCTTTTCAGAGTTAACCAAAGATCACATAAAATACACATGTGTATCAACTGTTAGGTTATTCCAAGCAAGAGCAATCAACTGCAACATTAAAAGACTTATTGGATCACTGACAGCTAGACTTGTGCAATTCAGTGAAAAGGCATGCCATTTCAGGGTCCGTTTCCGGCGAACCCCTCGTTTTTTTTACCAGAAAGTTATTCAAATCAGGAGGAGTGTTTTCATTTTCATTTGGCTACCATGGGAAACTTTAAAGGCTCAATCTTCAACCATTTTAAGGCCTATCTACATGTAACCTAACCTCAGTTTGAGACCCCATTTAAAACTGCAGGCCTGCCAATTTTCAGAACAATTCACCAATCTACTGATTTTCTTTAGAATTATTCAAGTTTTTAACATAATGTTTTTTAAAGTAAGGCAAACCGCAAGAGAGGGTTCTGGGAATTGTAGTCACAAGTTGTTGTCCATTCTCAGCAAATCAAACCATGAACACAACCAGGCCTTTTGTTGCTGAGAGATAGAGAAAAAGAACTTCAACTCCCATCATGCTTTGAGAGGAACCAACGGTTCAATGTCTTCCCCATGCAAGTACTGCTGGGAAAGCGAGTTCCCAGCAGGGCTCTCTCTGGAGGAGGAGCCTAGGGACTTTTCCACATCTGGGGAGAGAGAAAAGATGCTACAGTTAATCCCATTTTCTCCAAGAGCCCCCATGGCAGACCCCTGCCTCGGGTATATTGCAGACTTAACTCCTGTTGGAGTTCAGCTTGTGATTGTGTCTAATGATCAGGGTACTCTGGATGTTGGGAGTGGCAATGAGGTTCATGTTTCTAATGATGAGGTTGCTCTAGATGCAGATAATGACAATGGGATTCCTTCTCAAAGTGATTTTTCTTATGAGAATGTTCCTGAAGGGTTTGGAGATGATGGTATGTTCCCTAGGCCTGAATTGCTACCAGAGAATTCCCAAGGCTTTGAGCCTGAGAAAAGCTTGGCACCTGGGCCAGCTGCAGAAATTAATGAGCCAGTAGATAGGCGAAATGCTTTCAGTCAGCACACACAAACCACCCAAGCTCTCAGGCGCTCTACCAGATTGCGAGAGAGATTGATAACAAAGTCAAGGCTAAAAAGAAATCCATTCCTGGCTGCGTGGAATATAGAGTAGATTAGGGGATAAAGGTGCCAAGTACAGAATCTGTACCCAGAGGAAGCAATGTTGGAATTGAGTCAAGATGTTGTCCCAGGTCCCTGGAAGCTTTGCCTTGGATAGATTCCTGTGCTAAGTGCCTTGTTTGATTCATGTGCAAGTTTTGGGGTTTTACCTTGGAAGTTTCAGTATTTGTTTTCATGAACTCTGATGGACTAATTTCCTGGGCTATTTGTTTCTATCTATCTTTCTACCTAATTGGATTTACCTATTTTTGTGGATTGCTTTTTACTGCTACTGTTTTAAATAATATTCAATAAACTGCTTGCATTTTTACTCAGCTGTGTGGTGTTTAAAGTCAGAGGGTTTTCCCTGCCTGGAGTGCAACAACTGCATCCTCTGCAGTAGCCGATAAATCCGGCTCTCTTGATCCATTTTGGTCGGTGTTCCAGTTCCCTCCTCCCCATTCCGTTTTCTGGAGATTATATGAAATGAACCACTGAATCTTACAAATCATTTTCGGTTCAATTGATCTAGATCCAAGCCTACTGACAGTATATTACACATATTTTCATTGTCTATTTGAATGTCCATCTTTGTCTCTTCATGAAGACATTTTTTATGACAAGCATGTCCACGGTCAGATTTCTGGAACTGTGCTGAAGATATTTTTTATAGGAACTTCCTCCTTTTCCATCTCCTCTATCTTTCTAACAGCAAAGGACAGCAAAGGTTTAGTTGAAAAGGTTTGGTTGAAGGCAACGGAGTCTGTCCTATCATTCTGTCCTATCATTCCTGCTGCTAGGAGGAAAAAAAATCTTCAATAGCATAGTGTAGGTAGCAAAAATCTATCTTGGCAAATGTTTATAGTGTGCCCTAAGGGGAATTTTTGGTAAGTTGTCATCTCTTGCAATGGCTGTTTGTCACATTAGCCAGCAGTTCCACATCTTTGTGATCCAGTTCTCCCGTCACAGAATAAAGTATTGCTCCATTTGTCCATCTTGGTTGCTTGGCATCGGCATCTCTGCCAGGAGGCTTCAAGGGAGTCCGTTTGACTTTCTTTGCTAGTCTTGCACAGCAGAGCAATGTTGAACTGAATATCATGGAAAATCCACAGAGCAGGAATGATGCAGTGTAGTTACCCGTTGTATCAACAAGCCAACCTGTAAAAAACACACATCTCTGTAAGATACCATATATTTCACTTAGCCTTACTATTCTGGACTGATTCTGCCACATCTTCATTAGTAAACGGTTTTACAGAGGGACAACTCTGCAACACATAGGATAGCATTGTTTCACAAAAATTTGGTCCCTTGTATTTTCAGATTTAATCCAGACACTGATATTCCAAAGGCCAGTATTCAACAGCCTAATTCATTTATGGAAATAATGGCTGAATTCTCTATGGCAGTGGTTCTCAACCTGGGGTCTCCAGATGTTTTCGGCCTACAACTCCCAGAAATCCCAGCCAGTTTACCAGCTGTTGGGATTTCTGGGAGTTGAAGGCCAAAAACATCTGGGGACCCCAGGTTGAGAACCACTGCTCTATGGCAATTATGACCCCATCAGATACTCTTTGGCGGCATATGGTGGTTCACCATTCCTTTTGCAACAGTGCCCACTAGCTCCCATTCCACTACGTAGAGCTATTTCCAGCAGGGCTCTGTCACAAAAAAAGAAGATGAACCGGTGTATGCCACCACCACTGCAATACAGGAGGCTTCCCGTGTTGTATTGAATCAATGGGGGAAGCCAGACGACTGGGACATCTCTCTATGGGCAGGGGCAATGGGTAAGTCAGGTGATGCGGAGCATGCGGAGCATGCGGAGCTGGGTTCCCCATGCCCCACACTGGGCACCACCAGATTTGCCACGATGTATTGCAATTCTGGCAGCCAGTATGCTGAGGTCCTTGGAGTTATGCTGAAATGCACTACTTTGTCATATAGTGCAATAATGTTGACAACTGTATGCATGCAAAATTGCTCACCTAACTGGAAAATCAGAGAGAAGTCTACTAACACATTGTACATTGCATTTAGACCAAACATTATTTATTTATTTATTTATTTATTTATTTATTACATTTATATTCCGCCCTTCTCACCCCGAAGGGGACTCAGGGCGGAGCACAGCATATACACGGCAAACATTCAATGCCCGACACAAATTCACATACAATACATAAACATTAAAAAACATTTATCAAAATATTAAAATACACCATTTAAAACCGTCCTAGTCATCCACATCAAATCTAATATTGGCTGAGAAAGGCAGTAGAATCATAGAATCATAGAATCATAGAATCAAAGAGTTGGAAGAGACCTCATGGGCCATCCAGTCCAACCCCCTGCCAAGAAGCAGGAATATTGCATTCAAATCACCCCTGACAGATGGCCATCCAGCCTCTGTTAAAAGCTTCCAAAGAAGGAGCCCCCACCACACTCCGGGGCAGAGAGTTCCACTGCTGAACGGCTCTCACACTCAGGAAGTTCCTCCTAATGTTCAGATGGAATCTCCTCTCTTGTAGTTTGAAGCCATTGTTCCGCGTCCTAGTCTCCAAGGAAGCAGAAAACAAGCTTGCTCCCTCCTCCCTGTGGCTTCCTCTCACATATTTATACATGGCTATCATATCTCCTCTCAGCCTTCTCTTCTTCAGGCTAAACATGCCCAGTTCCCTAAGCCGCTCCTCATAGGGCTTGTTCTCCAGACCCTTGATCATTTTAGTCGCCCTCCTCTGGACACATTCCAGCTTGTCAATATCTCTCTTGAATTGTAGTGCCCAGAACTGGACACAATATTCCAGATGTGGTCTAACCAAAGCAGAATAGAGGGGTAGCATTACTTCCCTAGATCTAGACACTATGCTCCTATTGATGCAGGCCAAAATCCCATTGGCTTTTTTTGCCACCACATCACATTGTTGGCTCATGTTTAACTTGTTGTCCACGAGGACTCCAAGATCTTTTTCACACGTACTGCTCTCGAGCCAGGCATCCCCCATTCTGTATCTTTGCATTTCATTTTCCTGCCAAACTAATTGGCCTGGCCATCTTTCCTATTGCCGCTTTATTGCCCTGTCCCGAAAGCTTGGTCCCACAGCCAAGTTTTTACCATCCTTCTAAAGGACAGGAGGGAGGGGGCTGACCTGATCTCACCAGGAAGGGAGTTCCATAGCCGGGGAGCAATCACCGAGAAGGCCCTGTCTCTCGTCCCCACCAATTGTGCCTGTGACAATGGCGGGGCGGAAAGCAGGGCCTCCCCGGAGGATCGTAATCTCCGTGATGGTTCATAGGGGGAGATGCGTTCGGACAGGTAATTTGGGCCGGGGCTATTTAGGGCCCCAACCAATTGCTTTATTTATCTATGATTTTGGACATCACATTTAACAACATTCTTAGATGAGTCCTAAAACCTGTGACACTTTCATAGAGGGAAGCCCATTGAAAAGAAAGGCAGTCCCGTAGTATCATAAAGTCTATTGCAATCAAAACAGCAGAGTCCTGTTGTACATTAAAGTATAACTCATTCATAATACCCTGAGTTTTCTGAAGTTTAGCCCGCTTCATTTGATACAGAATTTGTCCAAAATTTGAGCTAATAAATATGCAGGACACAAAATTGGGAGACCAGATCTTGCAACAAAATATCTGATCAGGAGCATATTTACTTGCACATTTTCAGGAGTGGCATATTTATTTATTCATTTATTCAATTTATACCAAACTGCTCTCCCAGGATGGACCATCTACCAGCAATTATCTTTAAAATTGTACACAAAGCCAATAAGGCAGTCTCTTCATGAAATAATAATGGGCATAAATCTAAATGTTCTGGTACGACTGTACCAGGAGCTCCAACTTCCTTTTCTTTCTTTGAGTGTTTGCATGTATTCCAATGTTCCATGCACTTTGCAATAAGGTGGCTTCCCTTGGTTTGCAACCACCTGCCTATCATCGTTAGGTTTTTTAGTTCCGCCCCTTTCCCCAGGGTTCAGGAAGGAAAGGGAGCCATTTTAGCTCGGTCTTACAGCTGAAAGCTTAGCTACAGGACGTGAATCAGCTTCACCTGTAGAGAAGCTTCGTTTCACCAGAAATTCCAGGGGAAAACAGTTCAAAAGGACTACAGCTGGAGAATCTACAAAGCCTTGACTGGTAGGTCTACTCGGGACCCAAGAAGAAGTTTGGAATCGGGAGTAGAGACCACACCAGCAAAGTTTAGAAAGTAGTTCGCCCAAGGAGGGGTTAAAAAGGGTTTTACTTTTAAAGAAAAGAAACAGTTAAAGAAACAGTTCATGAAGCCAGTTGCCTGTCCCTTGTGGATAAGATTAAGAAAGCCACCAGTTGATTCAAGCCTTTAAGTATTTGCTTGACCTATTGAAGATCTGAGAAGTATTTGATTGTTTTGTTGAAGACCTAAGCAATAATAAAGGACTTTGTTAAACCTTTCAAGCTTCTAAAGACTTTTGTATAGGAAAATCCTTACAGCCTCTCAGCTGAGGCACCCGGCTTCCTGCTGGGCACAAAGAGCACGTCCTGTTCAAAAGCCAATTGCTATAGGCCAAGCGCATGACAGCACACTAATATTATTTTGAAATGGCAATATTGAAAAACCCATCAAACTCCGAAGATTTTGATTCTAAAAGTGTTGATTGTATACCAATGGAATGTCAGATGATTAGAGGAAGAGATAGCACAAAGTGCAATTCATTAGGAAGTTGAAGTCTATCACCAGTTACATGACTGGATAATCATTTTTGTTATATCACACATATCAATTTGTTTAGTAAATGACAGGATGTTTGTGTTATAATCAGCGACATTCTGCTGAATGCCAGTGGCCTATGCTAATAATATAATTGTCACTTTCCATGTTCAAATAGCATTTCTGCATTCAGTCTTCCTCTAACCATACAATCAACAATCTCACAAATGTGTGTATGTCTAAAATGCAGGATATCAATCTGTAGATCTTCTCAAGTTTGGGCTGTCAGGTCAGGATTAGCTTAGATCCTGACAACTATTGTTGTCAGCCACGATATTGGTTTATTGTGTTTGTCTGATTATAATGTTTTATTGTTTTTAGATGTTGACTGTATTTTTGTACTTGTTTCTAATCTGTATTTACTGGGCATGCCCCTTGTAAGCCAAACTGAGTTCCTTTCGGGGAGATGGAGGCTGGGTATAAAAATAAAGTTATTACTGTATATACTCGAGTATAAGCCTAGTTTTTCAGCACCCTTTTTAGGCTGAAAAAGTTCCCCTCGGCTTATATGCAAGTCAAAGTTATTTATTACTTTACTTTGTTATTAGTATCATTTTATTACATGAATTATTTTAATATATTTATTATTATTATTATATTTACATTATTTTACTCTACAGTATTATTATTTTATTACATTTATTATTTTACTCTATTTATTATTAGTATTATTATTTATTTAATCTTTATTATTACATTTATTATTTTACTTTATTTTTATTGTTACTGCATTTATAATTTTACTCTGTTATTGCTGTTATTACATTTCCAGTATTTTACTCTATTATTATTATTATTATTATTATTATTATTATTATTATTATTATTATCCTGACACAAAAACACAGTATGAGGTATATATGCTGGATTTCATTATTATTATTATTATTATTATTATTATTATTATTATTATTTTACTCTATTATTATTGGAGGGATACATAAGCACATTTCCACTGAAGATTAGAATAATGATTTAATCAGAGCTGGACAGTCTTATCTTAAATTACAGTTTTATGTAAATATTCAAAAACATTTAATGTACTGATGACTCAATTAATATCTATTTTTTTTATTTTGAAATTTACCAGTAACTGCTGCTTTTCCCATCCTCGGATTATACTCAATAAGTTTTCCCAGTTTTTTGTGGTAAAATTAGGTGCTCGGTTTATATTCAGGTCGACTTATACTCGAGTATATACGGTATTATATTATTATATCCTAATATTTCAAACTAGAGGCACAAAAGTTGAATTACAGTTGTACAAAAATAAGCAAAACAGACATACTAATCTGTTTAACTTGCATAAATGTATATAAATCCCATGATTACGATTTTCTTGGCTAATTTGGATTGTTTTGAAATTAGGTCTGGTAGTGATTGCTCTTTTTTACTATTACAAGACTACATACATGTTGCCCAGAATCCTGTTGGGAAGTTACAAATGAAGTGCTTCCCAAATTTTGGTCTTCTGGGTGTTTTGTACTTTGGTTTTCCGAATCCCTGGATCATTGGCCAAGGCAGCTGAAGCTTCTGGGAGCTGAAATCCAAAACACCTGGAGGACTAGAATTTGGAAATACCTGATCTAGAATTATGGGCTTGTGACTGTTCCATACTCCCATTCCCTATGTAGTCCTTATTTTAGGGTCTATGTAGATAGCATCAAAATCCTACAGCCTCTTCTTATCAAGAAGTAGCTGCTGTGAACAACGGGAGTCTTTTCCCTGACTGAGTAGGAATGAGCTGATTGAAGATCTCACCCACTCCTGTGCAAACAATCTCTGTCATGAGCTAGAATTGTGATGGGATCCTGCTTCTGCTTGTCACACTATGTATCACTCACAGAAGGAGCTGAAATAGCAGTCACCTGCTTCCCAAGTGACAGGAGAACAGATCTTGGTTGACTGCAGCTGCTGCTTCCCATTAACTTACAATTGGGAGAATCATGATGGTATTCATTACCTAGCATCATAACTATGATGGTTATACATACATTCATCACCCACATAATTCCAGCTGTTATGCAAATTTGATTGAATTTTTTTTGTCATGTCAGGTGTTTTGTTGTTGTGACTTGAGAAACTGCAAGTCGCTTCTGGTGTGAGAGAATTGGCCGTCTGCAAGGACGTTGTCCAGGGGACACCCAGATGTTTTGATGTTTAACCATCCTTGTGGGAGGTTTCTCTCATGTTCCCACATGGAGAGCTGAGCTGATAGAGGGAGCTCATCTGTGCTCACAGATTCAAACCTCTGACCTGTCAGTCTTCAGTCCTGCCGGTACAAGGGATTAACCCACTGCGTCACTGGGGGCTCCTTTCTGGTTGATGGGGGATCCCTAAAGACTTTACATTACCAAACATGAGCCATTCTTTGATGGTAACAACAAAAGTGACTCATAATTTTACAGATTTATCAAACAACTTGAATATCTTTTTATCTTCATTGGCCTTCTCCTAATTCCTCTTACTACATTTGGTTGATTTTCGGAAACAGTTATAAGGAACATGCTGCCCTCTGGTGTTTGCTATGAGAAAAGTAAGATTTTACTTCATTCCAATCTACTCAAGATGGATGAGTAAATCAGTTTCTGGGTTGTCAGTTGCGCAGTCAGACATAAGTGTGCTTAGCCGGTATTGCACCACCTGACATCCACCGGGAAGTAGCAGCCAATAGTGAAAGGACCAAGGCAGAGACATCTCCAGCTCATCCCCTGTTTGGGTACCAGCCAGCATGTCAACGACTTAAATCTAGAAATAGTTTTCTAAGATCTACAGAGACACTCGCTGGAACACCTCAGCAAGTAAGAGTCCAAAAGTGGCAGGCTCAAACCCAGAACCTCAATCAATGGCTGATACGAAACGAGAGACTCCCCCCTGGGCACACAGAGGACTAGGCGATTTGGAAGGCGCTGAACAGATTGCGCTCTGGCACCACGAGATGCAGAGCCAACCTTAAGAAATGGGGCTACAAAGTGGAATCCACAACATGCGACTGTGGAGAAGAGCAAACCACAGACCACCTGCTGCAATGCAACCTGAGCCCTGCCACATGCACAATGGAGGACCTTCTTGCGGCAACACCAGAGGCACTCCAAGTGGCCAGATACTGGTCAAAGGACATTTAATCAACTACCAAACTCACAGATTTTGTATTTTGTCTGTTTGTTTGCTTTGTTCTGTTAGAAATGTAATATAATTGGTGGTTGCCCTGACATGACAAATAAATAAATATCCTGTCTCAGCAGTAACTCACGTTTGTTATCTTGTTTTAAAATATATTTATATAACAGATAACAAATACTCAAGAAAAAATGAATTAATAAATAAATGAATTCTGAATTTCAGTACATTTCAGTAAACAAATGCTTAAAATGCATTGTGCCATCTTAATTGTAATATGGCAGATTATTCTGTGTAAAAAGGAGTCATAGTCCAACACTTAAACCACTAAACAATGCCATATTAGGCTAGATCTACACTGCCAAAGAAAATCCAGATTATCTGCTTAGAAATTTATTATATGGCAGTTCCCTCCAAGAAAACCCATTTCCAAGCACAATTCAAATTGCTGGTCTTGGACTATAAAGCCCTATACGGCTCCAGCCAAGCTTATTTGTATGAACATATCTCCCTCTACGTTCTGCCTCGTAGTTTAAGATCCACTGGGGAGGCCTTGCTCTCGCTCCCACTGGCCTCACAAACACGTCTGGTGGGAACGAGGGAAAGGACCTTCTCGGTGGTGACCCCCCACTTGTGGAACTCGCTCCCCAGCAAGATTAGATCGGCGTCCTCCCTCCTTTCCTTTAGGAAAAAACTGAAATCGTGGTTGTGAAACCAGGCCTTTGGCTAGCAGGCATAACGGCACTTTGGACATTGAACTGGATCATATGATTGTTATAATAATGGAAACAGCTATATGATTGTATAACTAATGCTATTGTTTTAATCTAGTGTGTATTTATGATTTTGTATCATTGGCATCAAATTGTTGCCAGTGTTAGCCGCTCTGAGTCCCCCCTCGGGGATTGAGAAGGGTGAGGTAGAAATGTTGTAGATAAATAAATTGTAAATAAATATGATAGGCTCTGAAAAAATGGAAAAGTTTAGAAGGCAACAACAAAATCAGCAGCATATATTGGAAGAATCAAATGGAGGAAGTCATACACTAGATTCATGGAGCCCCCAGTGGCGCAGTGGATTAAGCCCCTGTGCCAGCAGTACTGAAGACCGACAGGTCGCAGGTTCGAATCCGGGGAGAACGTGGATGAGCTCCCTCTATCAGCTCCAGCTCCTCATGCGGGGACATGAGAAAAGCCTCCCACAAGGATGATAGAACATCAAAAACATTCGGGCATCCCCTGGGCAACATCCTTGCAAACGGCCAATTCTCTCACACCAGAAGCGACTTGTGGTTTCTCAAGTTGCTCCTGACACGAACCCCAAAAAAACCAACAACAATAGATTCATGTGTCTACATGCTTGTGGATGACATTGAATTATATGAAAACTGACCTGCAACCGGAGGGCTAATCAGGTAGGGTATTGCATGAAGAAAGTACACCACGCCAAGTGCTGATGACAAGGAAGTGGTGCCCACCACATCTGCTGTCACCACTGGGATTAATGTGACATAGGCGCCATCGAAATACCCAAAGGTGAATGAAAAAGGCACGAGGAGCGGAAAATTTTGGAGAACTGGAAGAAAGAGACAGCAGAAGCCATCCATGGCCACTGCAAAGAGGTAGCAAACGTAGCGGTACTTTTTCAAACACCTGAAAGACATTAAAAACACAGGAAAGAAAACAAAGAGGTAGCAAACGTAGCGGTACTTTTTCAAACACCTGAAAGACATTAAAAACACAGGAAAGAAAAAAGTGAGTTGTGATAAATTCCCCTTCATTCCACTTCATTTGTTATCAGTGGCCTTGAGGATGGAATTCAACTGCAAATAGTGCTGATCTGGTGCCTAATAATAATAACAATAATAATAATAATAATAATAATAATAATAATCTTTATTTATACCCTGCTACCATCTCCCCAAGGAGCTCGGTGCGGCTTACATGAGGCCAAGCCCGCAATACATCAGACAATAACAACAATAATACAAACAGTAAAATAAAACTCATAACAAAAAATAAGCAATAAACATTAACAGTAGCACAACGACGTTTAAAAAACGTATGGCTGGGCCAAATGTAATAATTAAAATTTTAAAGATAATGCTGAGCATGAACAGGTGAAATATGACTAGGATAGAGTTTTCGGCAGGGGCGGCTCAACCCATTAAGCAAAGTAAGCATTTGCAGTATAGTTGATTTTGCCCAGGGGTGCTCTTGAGGCGCTCTTAGGGGAAAATAGACCTTAACATATGCGAGTTGTAGTTACTGGGATGTATAGTTCACCTACAATCAAAGAGCATTCTGAACTCCACCAATGATGGAATTGAACGAAATATGGCACACAGAACTCCCACGACGAACAGAAAATATATATCAGTGATTGGTTGGGGGGGGGGGGGGAATACTGTTTGCTTACCATTGAAAATTACCTAGGGCCGCCTCTGGTTTTCGGAGAGGGATGGGGCGTGCAGACTATCCTAGATCATTAATAAAGTGCATTTAAGGACATATTGCTGGGAGATTCCTTATTCTGGGAAGGCACACTGGAACAACCACGTTTTCAGGCTCCTCCTAAAGACTGCCAGAGTTGGGGCATGCCTGATGTCCTTGGGGAGTGAGTTCCAGAGTCAAGGGGCCACCACCGAGAAAGCCCTCTCCCTCGTCCCCACCAATCGCACCTGCGATGGAGGTGGGAGTGCGAGCACAGCTGAAAGAGTAGGCAGAGTATGTATCCCATCTTGTGGTTGTCTTCTACAGAATTCTGGAGCTTGTAATTTAGTGAGACCCAGGACCCCTCTGGCTGAGCATTTTAAAGGTCCATCTCTTAAACTACAAGCCCCAGAATTCTGCAGGAGGAAACCACAGAATTTTAGATGGGATGCATACACTTTGCCTACTCTTTATGCTCTATATTATAATATAACATAATATTATAATATTATAATGTAATGCAATATAATACTACTACTACTAATATGATATTATAATTATATATTTATATTACCTGTAATATTACTAATAATATTACAATATAATGGTATCGTACAATATAGTAATATGTAATACTGATACTGTACTATGCTAATAATATAATATATGGTGTGTATATATCTTGTAGGCCACTCTGAGTCCCCTTCAGGACAGCATATAAGTGCCATAAACAAACAAACAAACAAACAAACAAATAAATAAATAAATAAATAAAAGTGTGGTATAACCACCACCTGTGGTATAACCACCTTATCTTTCTTACCGAGTATGCAAAAGGATAAATTGGCAGCGTAAACTTTCATAGAGTAGTTCTATATTTTTGGAAAATGGGAATCTCCATAACCTTTTGGAAAACAGATATTCATAAGCTTTTGGGAAAAACAAGAAACTTTTTGGAAAGGCTTGACCTTGGGTTGTTGTAGGTTTTTTCGGGCTATATGGCCATGTTCTAGAGGCATTCTCTCCTGACGTTTCGCCTGCATCAATGGCAAGTATCCTCAGAGGTAGTGAGGTCCTCACTACCACTGAGGATGCTTGCCATAGATGCAGGCGAAACGTCAGGAGAGAATGCCTCTAGAACATGGCCATATAGCCCGAAAAACCTACAACAAACCAATGGTTCCGGCAATAAAAGCCTTCAACAGGCTTGACCTTGTTAGAGATCATAACCTTTTGTAACGTATGATCTCCCTGAGAAGAGTTAAAAACTCACTTGAGTCAACCTTCTCCTTAGTGGTAAATATCCACTAGTATTTATGCAAGGCAATTGGGTTTCTCAGCTGTTAGACTGATATACCTAGATATCTCTTTGAACTGTTAGGAACAAAAATATGCCAATGCACAAAAAACATATATAGCAGAGTCTCAGAAATGTTGTTTCAGTTGCCCAAAAAACATCTAACCTTCCTTAAAACGTCTTGATTTAAATCATGCTCTCAAAAGACCAAAAACAAAGTAGTCTTCGTTAAAATAACATAGTTAGTTTACTCACAAACTTCATGAAATCAGCATACAGGTACATTGCATATCAGTCCAGTTACAGATGGATTTGTAGTAGTGTCTCTGTCCAGATATAATCTTAACAGTCCAAAGTCTAAAGCAAAGGTCCTCAAACTTTTTAAACAGAGGGCCAGGTCACAGTCCCTCAAACTGTTGGAGGGCCAGATTATAATTTGGAAAAGAAAATGAATGAATTCTTATGCACACTGCACGTAACTTATTTGTAGTACAAAAAAAACCCTTAATACAATAATTAAAATGAAGAACAGTTTTAACAAATATAAACTTATTAGTATTTCAATGGGAAGTGTGGCCCTGCTTTTGGCTGATGAGATAAGATTGTTGTTGTTGTTGTTGTGTGCTTTCAAGTTGTTTCAGACTTAGGTTGACCCTGAGCGAGGGCTGAGTAAATGACCTTGGAAGGCCGTATCTGGCCCCCGGGCCTTAGTTTGAGGACCCCTGGTCTAAAGCATCTCTATGGTCTGAGAGACTAGTAGAGTCTCTGTAGTCTAAAACATTCTGTTTCTACTGATTTCTAAAAAGCATACCGTTTCTAAAATGGAATCTGAGCTCTTAATCATCCCAGATCTGATCACATGGTCTGCAGCCCCTCCCACAACATAGAGTTAAGGAAAACTGCATACCAATATGCATATATACAATATACTAAGCAAATTGAATTATATACATAACAAATAACTAGTGGAGGCTTGAAGAAGGTTGCTATTTCCAACATATATGGACACTTCATTTCTGGGCCAATTTAGAGTGTCAAATTCCAGATCAGACCAGTAAAAACCATTCCAGCTGCCTTGGAGTGGTGTTTATTGCCATTCCCTTGGCTACTGTAGAGGCAAGATGGAGTCTTGACCATCCAGTGGAGACGAACCTGATTTCTTATTATCAGGCCGCTACTCATACTATCCACTTGAACAAGAAAAAAATGGTTAATCGTGTGTTTCTAGAAGGGAGTTCTAAACATGTGATTCCATTCTTTAAAAGACCAACCAAGAAGATTTATACCATTCCAGCCCATTTTACCTGTGCAAACGTATTATCCCCTATGAACCATCAAGAGCATTAAGATCTTCCGGAGAGGCCCTGCTCTCGGTCCTGCCACTTTCACAGTCACGTCTGGTGGGGACGAGAGACAGGACCTTTTCTGTGGTGGCCCCCCGGCTATGGAACTCTCTCCCAAATGAGGTTAGGTCTGCCCCCTCCCTCCTGACCTTTAGGAAGCTAGTGAAATCCTGGTTGTGGAACGAGGCATTTGCAGAGTGATGGCTGAGACCAGTAATTGACTAAAGTTATTGACTACAATGTGCGGACTGAGTTGGACATGATTTTATCTTGGCGAATGGTTTATATGCACTTTATCTTATATGTATTTTAACTGTATGATGTTTATGTATGACGTTTTAAAAGGTTTTTACTGTTAGCATTGAATTCTTGCTGTTAGCTGTTCTGAGTCCCTCGGTGGAGGTAGAGAAGATCGGGATATCAAAGTTTTAAATAAGTAAATAAATTTTAAAAGAATTTGCTGGGACTAAAATCCAAAACATCTGGAGGGGGGGTCAATGTTTCGGAGTCACTGAGCTACAGGGAGCAGGTTTTCTCTTTCCTGCCAGAAGTTGGAAGTGGAGAAAACACACAAGTGGAACTACACTTGCATAAACAACCACCTGCCACTAGAGGGCAGTAGAGACAACATTTTAATTAGCATTACCTGTTATTTTCCACACTGTAGAATTATGGAGTTTTGGCATCACTAGCTGAATGCTGCAGAATCCTGATAGTTGTAAATTAGTAAAGCACCCACACTGATAGGTAAAGGTGAAGGTTTTCCCCTGACATTAAGTCCAGTCGTGTCCGACTGGGGAGTGGTGCTCATCTCCATTTCTAAGCCGAAGAGCCGGTGTTGTCCACAAACACCTCCAAGGTAATGTGGCCGGCATGACTGCATGGAGCGCCGTTACCTTCCCGCTGAAGTGGTACCTATTGATCTCACATTTGCATGTTTTCGAACTGCCAAGTTGGCAGAAGCCGGGGCTGACAGCGGAAGGTCACGCCGCTCCCCGGATTCAAACTGCGGACCTTTCGGTCAACAAGCTTAGCAGCTCAGCAGTTTAACCCACTGCACCACCAGGGGCTCCACTGGGGGCTCCACACTGATAGAGAAGGCTAAATATTTTGTAAAACTACAACTCTCATGATTCCATAGGATTGAGCCATGGCAGTTTATTTATCTATCGTATCAGGAGCAAATCAAGGGTATAGTTGTAATGTATTTAAAAAACACAAGTTTTAAAACTTGGCATTATATTAAATGTCCTATGACCAGTAGCTGGCCACTTGGAGTGCCTCTGCTGTTGCTATAAGGAGGTCCTCCATTGTGCATGTGGCAGGGTTCAGACTGCATTGTAATAGGTGGTCTGAGGTTAAATAGTGCAAAACTGCATTAATTCTATAGTGAAATACATCCTTTGTCTTGTTTGCTCTGCTGCTTAAGGGAAAAGATAAACTAATACTCACAGGGTTGAATTCAGTCCCTTTCACATACACCCCTAAACCATTTATTGTTCTTTTTTTAAAAAAAACTTATTTAAACAGGTATTTTGTTATGGGTTGTTGTAGGTTTTTTCGGGCTATATGGCCATGGTCTAGAGGCATTCTCTCCTGACATTTCGCCTCCATCTATGGCAAGCATCCTCAGAGGTAGTGAGGTCTGTTGGAACTAGGAAAAAGGGGTTTTTGTTATGATTCTGGACAGCAACTTCTCTTTTTAATCTAAATGATGGGAGTGTTTGGTATACACTGTGGTTTGTTCCATGGATACCAAAATCCATGGATGCTCAAGTCTAACTGTATACAGTGGCATAGTATGCACTTTAACAACACAACCATTCAATGCTATGGCTTTTTGCCACAATAAAACTGTAGAGGAGAGTCTACCGAACAAGCCAGTACCTGCCGCATACCAGTACTGCCATCTGTTGAGGAGTTACGAAGGTGGAGGGATTACTTTTCATTCAACCCTTGTAAAATGGCAAAGTCAAAGTTTACATTTTGGATTTTTTTTAATGGATGGTTGGAGAATCTGTGGATGTGAAGAGCTGACTTTATACCAGTTATACAAATGTGTGTAATGGAATTACACAAATGTAACACAGTCTAACGAAGTTATACAAATAGCTTTGTTTCAACTCATTGTGTTGCTTTTGAAAAACACTTGGTTGCACCTTAATTTTCCAGTACCCCATTACAGGTAATATGTTGCTTCCAGGCTCTGGGTCTGCAAGCCATACACACTCCTGTTTATTATTCTTCATTCTACACAGCTTTCTATTCAGACGTTACCTTCTGTCCGTGAGCCATCCAAAAGTGATGTTGCCGATAATGTCAACGACCCCAAGGATGGACATGAGGAAAGCTGCCTGCTGGTGACTCACTCCGACCCGCAGCGCATAAGGCACCAGGTAAACAAAGAGAGGGCTGCATCCGTAAGCCATGAATAAGACTGACCCTGCCAGCACCACAAAATCTGGCATCAGGAGAAAGCTGTATTCCTGCCATGAACATGGGCACAGGCACTTGTGCGACCAGACTTTGATGAGGGGGGAGCAGATGGACCACTTCTTGAAGTCCTGCTTTGGTGCTTCTGACTCAAACTCCTGCTCAGGAAATTCCGGGATGTTCTTGCGGCCCTCCTTCCCTGCAACAGGTCTCATCAAGGCACCACAGACGCAGAGGTTTAAAACAAAGCCCCCGAGGATGAGTAAGGCTCCCCGCCAGGAAAACTGTTCAATCAGAAGCTGCACCACAGGAGCGAGGATGAAGGTACCAATCCCACTGCCAGACATGGCAATCCCGTAAGCGAGAGCCTTCCTCTTGTGGAAATAGTTGCCCACCATCGCTATGGCTGGAGAATAAGAAAGTGCAAAGCCCAATCCTGGAAGAAGAGAGTGGGGGGATCACACATACAAGCCAATATAGGTTAGCAGCAAATCTATAATGTCTCTAAAATATAATATGAATTGGGCTGCAGTGGCACAGTGGGTTGAACCCTTGTGCTGCTGAACTGCTGACCTGAAGGGTTGGCTGAACTACTGACCTGAAGGTTGGCAGTTCAAATCTGTGAGACAGGATGAGCTCCCATCTGTCAGAAGGTGACAATGCAGGCTTCTCTGCTTGAAAAATGGAGAAAAGCACCTCCCAAAGCCAGAGATGAGCACTGCCTGGAGGGCCGAAATTTGTCCATGCCTGCTTTACACCCATATAATGCAGCTGAACTGCATTATATGGGTCTCTACACTGTAGGCTTGGTTGATGAAAAAAAAGGCTCAAAACTCATTTCAGATGTAGGGGGCGCTGGTAGTTCAATTCTAAAGTCAATTCTGATTTTCAGAGAAAAAATGTTCAAAACTTTTTGAAACTTCCGAGACTTCCGAATCCTTTCGTTAATGGTTTGAAAGTGTTATTTCCTGTTTCATTGGGTGGTCTTTACTTTGAAAGTAGTTGTTTTACTCCAGAAGCGGGGGAAAGCAAGCGGAGGAAATTATTTCCTTCTCTGGTTTAAAACTGGCTTATTTGGCTTGAGCTGGGGCCAGGGACCAGAAATGGGGAAAAGCAAGCGGAGGAAATTTCCTTCCTTCTCTGGCTTTAAAACTGGCTTCTCTGGCTTGAGCCAAGAACCAGAAGCAGAGAAAAGCTGAATCATTTCCGACTCACTTCAAGAGTTGTAACAAAAATGGCGGAAAAAGCTTTGGAAGGGCAAAGCGACTTCCAGTTTTCTTAAAAACTTCAAAATTGCATCAAAAAGGTAATTTTTCCAACTTTATTCCGAATTACAAAGATTCCGATGGTACCTAACCATGCCTACTACACTGACCATATAATGCAGATTCAAATTATATTATATAGCAGTGTAGGTTAAGCCTTAAAATTACTCCAAGTCAGAAAGACTTGAAAATGCACAAGGAAAACAATTCCTTTGAGGAACCAATCACCTGTGTTTTTTTAATCTAATGTATTGTATTAGAATATAACTCTCAGAATCCCCAAACCAGAAAGACCAGGGACTTTTCTCAATAACTATCATTTAGGAAACTTTTGTGGTAGTTTTTTTTAGTGCTGTAGCAAATAACAGGGGCTTCTTACTTATGGAATATATGCATTAGGTTTGAAACTGAAGACCTTGCACAACACAAACGATAAGAATGGAGCTTTTTTCCCCCTTTAGCAAACAAACTATTGGCGGCATTTCTACAAAACTATTATTAAACTGCAGGGGTTTGAGTCCTAAGCTCACATCACCGTAGCTACAATGCTAGTTTTTAATAAGTCAGCAGTTTCAGCATAAACATTTCCACTCCTCATCTTTGGGGAAATGAACTAGAGAAAAACAATAGAGTGTTTTGTTAAAGGGATGACTAAATTCATTGGAAATGAATCAAGGCAATGCAATCAGCAGAGCACTTGGATTCTAAAGCCAGTTAACCTTGTAAGGTTAGTGGTGCGGCTGCAACAAACAGCAAGGTGTGTGTGGCCTACAAATTCAAAAGTGAACTTTATATCCACTTGAAAACTGATGAACCTTAACATTTAAAGGGTGGAATTCCATTTGCAGCTCTCAAAATGTGAGAATTTGTGGAGAAATTTCATTTCAGCTTTCAAAAATAAATTAATGTAATGATTGTGCCAAAACTCAAGTACTTGACACTAACATTCAAATAGTCACATGCACCAAGAACATTTATTGGACTTTGAGTCATCTGCAGTTAAATTTAATAGAAATTCAAGTGAGTATTATCATATTCCAAAACTAATCATAGCTCTGCTCCTATCTCTTTTGTGTGCAACCAGGCCCGTAGCCAGGATTTCGATTCGGGGGTGGGGTGAGTTTGTTTGGGGGGGGGGGGGCTGAGTCTGAGTGAAAGAGGGTTTACCCTAGCAAACCTTTTGTATCATTACCCCAATACCCCCATGCATATGGGATATATTGAGTATGGTGATCAGATCATGATATGAATAAACATAACAGTTTAAATAATGCACCAGTAAGGCTTTTTTGCAAACCAGCATGAGAATTTCGGGGGGGGGGCGAAGCCCCTCAAGCCCCCCCCCCCTTCCCGGCTACATGCCTGTGTGCAACTACATCCTTAAAGCTGCAATTCTACTTTCACATACTAAAGAAAAAAGCCCCAATGGACAGGATGATATGCATGAGATGCTGCTGTAATAACACTGCAATCCTTAACCTATCCACATGCAGGGTATTTTCACTGAACTTAGTGCATCCTATGTCTCAGAAAATATGCACAGAATTTGCTGTTTCACAATATATCTTATGCCTAGAGGAGACTGGCAGAACAGAACAACAACATTAGCATCAATAGTGATAAGCAATACCTGTAAGAACTCCCAGGGAAAGATAAAGATGCTCCAGGCTTGTGGCAAAGGAACTCAAGATAAGGCCAGCAGATGCAAGCAATCCTCCTAGCATGATGCCCACCTGACATGAGACGTGGTTGCTGATAAAACTCCCAAGTGGAGCTTAAAATGAAAAGGATTGAAGTTAGGGTTACACATGTCTTTGCAGAAGCAAGTATACTTTCACATGACCAAACTGATCTACAAACACCTATACTCAACCAAGAACAGGCAGATTGCTCTGAAATTTCAAAATCCAGATCCACAGAATTTGCCCCCTCCCTAATAATAATAATAATAATAATAATAATAATAATAATAATAATAATCTGGATGCAGGCAGTTTGGATTATTGATGTCGCCATACCAGGTGGCAGTCGCATTGAGAAAAACAATAGGAAAAACTCAGCCGTTATCAGGACCTCAAAATCGAACTGCAAAGGCTCTGGCATAAACCAGTACAGGTGGTTCCAGTGGTCATTGGCACACTGGGTGCCATCCCAAAAGATCTCAGCCAGCATTTGGAAACAATAAACATTGACAAAATCACGATCTGTCAACTGCAAAAGGTCACCTTACTTGGATCTGCGCACATCATTTGAAAATACATCACACAGTCCTAGGCGCTTGGGAAGTGTTCAACTTGTGATTTTGTGATATGAAATCCAGCATATAGATCTCGTTTGCTGTGACATACTGTGCTTTTGTGTCAATAATCATCATTTTATTTCTTGCCTACCTCTGGCATAAACCAGTGCCTTGCCAAAGATCTCAGCTGGCATTTGGAAACAATAAACATTGACAAAATCACAATCTGTCCACTGCAAAAGGTCACCTTACTTGGATCTGCGCACATCATTCGAAAATACATCACACAGTCCTAGATGCTTGGGAAATGTTCAGCTTGTGATTTTGTGATATGAAATCCAGCATATAGATCTCGTTTGCTGTGACAGACTGTGTTTTTGTGTCAGTAAAATAATAATAATAACAAATTTATTACCCGCCTTTACCTGTGGCTTAAGGTACGATATGACATCATTAAAATAAGAGATAAAACACTATTTACAAGTTAAATCCACTGGTGACATGCAGATAAAAAATCCCAACTTAAAATTGATTTTTCAATATTGCTTCACCACACACAAACCACCTCATCACGAGCAAAGAGAGAGAAGCGGGGGGCCAATCTGTCATCCTGAACACAGCTCCCTCTTGGCGACGCTTTCCTCATCACATGGGGAAAACATTGCCCTTGTGGGGAGGCCCTGTGCTAGCTCCACTGGAGCCAGCACAAAATGGGAAGCTTCCCATGTTGGGGTGAAAGCGTCCGGCGACGCTTTCCCCTGGTTGGGGTCATGGCCTACGCTGGAAGTAACACATTGTGTGATGTTCGGTGTCGGTTTCCATCCCCCAGATGGTGTAAACACATCCTAGGATGCTTATTTCACCCTGCCCGATGAGGTTGCTAGGCATAGCTATGGCAACAGATACACCTGTTCTTCTCCAAAAAGCCTTGGGCAGCATAGCCATTGGGAATAGTGGTCTGAAACATTTCAAATTCAAAATATTCAGTCCCTAATTTAAAACTCCCCACATGAATAATAATAGCAATAACAACAACAACAACAACAACAACAACAACAACAACAACATCAAACCGCGGGCGGTGCAATGGGTTAAACTCTTGTTCTGCTGAACTGCTGAACTGAAAGTTGGCAGTTCAAATCCATAGGACGGGGTGAGCTCCTGCTGTTAGAACTAGCTCCTGACAACCTAGCAGTTCAAAAACATGCAAATGTGAGTAGATCAATAGATACTACTTCGGCAGGAAAAGGCAAAAAGACACTCCATGCAGTCATGTCAGCCACACTACCAGGATATTTCTATGGACAATACAGGCTCCTTGACTTGGAAATGGAGATGAGCACCACCTCCAGAGACAGAAATGAAAGGAGAAGGCTTTCCTTTTGACTGTGTATTTGCATCTCATTGTATTTCATTGTAACAAAGCATTGAATATTTGCCTGTGCCTGTTTATATGTTGTAATCCACTCTGAGTCCTCTCGGGGAGAAGGGAGGAATATTAATAAAGTGTTGTTGTTGTTATTGTTATTATTATTATTTTCCCAAGTTTGGAAATCAAGGAGGCTTACAACCATCAAAACGAATACAGTAAGAAATTAACAGCACATGAGAGTTAACAAGCTACTAAACCATCATAACATTTGAAAACAGTTAAAATAAATTCAAACAGAAGCAAGAAATAAAAGTCTAACGATGCTTGTTTCCTGGAAAAGTTAGTTCTCAAATTAAGAACACATTCACTAACTGATAGGAGAACAAAGCTTTTTTATATACAATACTAATTCACCATGTCTCCAAAACAGAATATGAAGAAAACTTTGCTATAGACTGAGAGGACAGGAGTGGAAAGACATGGGGCTCAACTGAACTCATTTTCATCCCCTTTTCAGGTTCCACTTTATAGTTGTGCAAGAAAGTTCAATACTCCATAGGAGGCATGCCATGTGTTGATTACCCCCTACGTGTGAAGTATTTACTTTTTCAAACAACAAAACATTCATCATGCAGTATGTACTGTTTTTCATTTGATCTGTGTTTGAGGTGTAAAAAAAAAACCCAAACCAATAAAAAGTGAAATGTTGTGTCCTCACTCAACATTTTCCTTATAAAGTTCATGCAGAAGCTTCCCAAGCTCCAAAGTAAAGCTTAATCCCATGCAAGAGTTTCCTGAGTTTTAAATAGCCTCTTATCTCCATTCACTGGTAAGAGATAAAAGCGGAAGCTGCATCAAGATCTGATGAGGAACTTCCCACATACAATCCAGAAATACTTAGTAAGAAATCTCTTTATTTAACAAAGCTGCCTGGTGTGTACCTGTATTAAAATTAAATTAAGTTTCAGCCACTGAGGTCTGGTTATTGCTGACTGGGTGTCTGCGCCCTACACCACTGGAGAAGTTACACTGTTTAGCCGGTACTGCACCACCTGACATCCGCCGGGGAGTAGCAACCAATAGTGAAAGGACCAAGGCAGTGCATCTCTGGCCCACACTCTGTTTGGGAATCAGCCAGCATGCCAAAGACTTAAATCAAGAAATAATTTTCTAAGATCTACAGAGACACTCGCTGGAACACCTCAGCAAGTGAGAGTCCAAAAGTGGCAGGCTCAAACCCAGAACCTCAATCAATGGCTGATACCAAATGAGACACTCCTGACTGGGCACACAGAAAACTGGGAGACTTGGAAGGCGCTGAACAGACTGCGTTCTGGCACCACGAGATGCAGAGCCAACCTTAAGAAATGGGGCTACAAAGTGGAATCCACAACATGCAAGTGTGAAAAGGAGCAAACCACAGACCACCTACTGCAATGCAACCTGAGCCCTGCCACATCCACAATGGTGGAGGACTTTCTTGCAGCAACACCAGAGGCACTCCAAGTGGCCAGCTACTGGTCAAAAAACATTTAATAGAATACCAAGTCTGCAAACTTTGTGGTTTGTTTGTTTGTTTGTTTTTAATGCAATACAACTGTTTTGGTTCGCTCCTGATACAATAAATAAATAAATTGCTGGCTAAATATAGTACAACATAAAAGAAGACACAGAAAATGTCCTGCATAAGTTCATTCAGAAACAGTTCCTATCAATTTTAAAGAGACTTATTTTTATGCATACAGAAATATACATAAATATGCATATATAAATATGCATTCATAAATATGCTCACCACAAAGCATTGTAGCACAATCTACAATGGAATGGATCCAAGCTGTCCGGGCATAATCTTGAGCAAAGTAAGTCTGGAACTCTACAAAAAAAATCGAAATGCACCTGGAAAAGAAAGATATACAATCAAACCTGAGCAAAAGTGTTTGGGCCAAAAAGATAACTACGGGTTATATGGAAACTTACATTTGATTTCTAGACTACATGGAAAAGAGATCATCTTTCCCATGAGACTTTTAAGCAGTGATCAACATAAATATTTCTGCTCACACCAAAATGTATTGAACTATATCGGAACTCAAGGCCTGATTTGTTCCTTGGGTATGACACTATTACCATATTGTGAGAGATACTGAGACATTCTTTATAGCATGCTGTGGTGAAGTGTGAATTTTAACCTACGGTCATGTATAATTATAGGTAGGTGTTTAAAGGGGTAAGTATTTAAAATAGCATAACTGGGGGGATGGTAGCCAGCTCAGCTCACTCTGGGATGGGTTGCCATGGTAAAAGGGGAGAAGCCAACTGCCACTTGGCAAGAGCAGGCATTTTAAATAGGCTGTGGTCAGAGAACCACAGGGAAAGCTGGTTCTACTGTGTTGAGAATCAGGAAGGTTTAGGATTTTAGCCTGTGTGGTTTAGAYAGGCCAAGYTGATTTATTTAGATTAGTAGTTAGAGTTTGAGCAAAAARAAAAAAGGAAGAGAACCCCAGTAAGAATCTTTACTATAACAGAGATAACAGAGATAAAGAATAGGCTAGTACTTGGAGTGATCTGTTAAGGAAAGAAACACATTTTGAGGGAAATACATTTAAATCTGTCTAGCRGAAAGAACAGTCCTCTTAAGAATTGTTTTATGAAAGATTCTAAATGTAACCACTAAAGGAATGTACCTCTAGGAGTTAAGAAACATTGAAACCATTAAGCTTCCATACTTCAATAAACTTATTACAGTTTCTCTTAAATCCAAGCCTCTGTTTCGTATACTTTCGAGGCAAGCCGCGCGACGCATCAAAGGAAGATAAACAAAATATTATAGGCTAGTGGCTGTGTTATCGATTTTGTAGATTAATTACAAATTGTAGGAGACTCTGACAAAGCAGTAACATCCCTACAACTGGTGGCGTCATTACACATGCCTTCCACATAAAGCAGTGGTTCTCAACCTTCCTTAATGATGCAACCCTTAATACAGTTCCTCATGTTGTGATGACCCCCATTCATAAATTATTTTTGTTGCTACATAACTGTAATTTTGCTACTGTTATGAATCATAATGTAAATATCTGATATGCAGGATGTATTTTCTTTCACTGGACCATATTCGGCACAAATACCCGATACGCCAAAATTTGAATACTGGTGGGGTTGGGAAGGGGGTTTGATTTTACCATGTGGGAGTTGTAGTTGCTGGGATTTATAGTTCATCTACAATCAAAGAGCATTCTGAACTTCATCAACGATGCAACTGAACCAAACTTGGCACACAACTCCCATGACCAACAGAAAAAACTGGAAGGGTTTGTTGGGCATTGACCTTGAGTTTTGGAGTTGTAGTTCACCTACATCCAGAGAGTACTGTGCACTCAGATAATGACAGATCTGGACCAAACTTGGCACGAATAGTCAATATGCCCAAATGTGAACACTGGTGGAGTTTAGGGAAAATAGACCTTGACATTTGGGAGTTGTAGTTGCTGGGATTTATAGGTAATCTACAATCAAGGAGCATTCTGAATTCCATCAATGATGGAATTGAACCAAAGGAAATGGCTGCCAACTCTCTGAAGCCTGATCATTTCTAAGGCATAAAGCATATTTTTTAGACTTTTTTAAAGGACTGTTTATCCCCTCTGTTCTCTGTAAGAATTCAGAGAGACTGCTGTATATATTGTTGCTCTGTTTGACTTTTGAACTGAAGTAAAGTTACTGTTACTCGTTACACAAATCTGAGTGACACATTATTATATTCCAGGGTATATTTTGGTTCAGAAACAGTGGTAAAGTTTGTGTTTATTTACATTTAAAACCTCCAACATGCTGTGGGCCAGAAACAATTTGATGGCACACAACAACAACAAATGCAAATTTTAAATATTTTCATTTTTAACTTTTTAAAATCAGCGTTTCAATTGAATGTATTAGTTAATGCAATTTTTGTACTCCATATTGTTTTAGACATCCTGTTTTATTTTATGCTAGCCGTCCCCTGCCATGCATTGCTGTGGCCCAGTCTGTGTATACATGTATATGTGTGTTTGCATATATATGTGTGTGGTTTTGCACATGAGTTGTAATATAATTTTTGTTTTTTGGCATTTTAAGTCTCTTCTGCTGTGTTTTATGAGTGATGGTCACTTGTTAGCCTGATAGGTGTATTGTGTCCAAATTTGGTGTCAATTCATCCCGCGGTTATTGAGTTCTGCTAATCCCACAAACGAACGTTACACGTGGCACGTCCTCTGCCACATGTTGCTGTGGCCCAGTCTGGTGATCTTGAAAATAAAATAATGAGAAACTATTGGTTTCTAATATACATTATTTCTTTATGCTTGTGGGTAAATAGTACTTCTTGTTGTTTCTTTGTCAATGTTGATGTAGAGATTGTGTGGTTTGCCTCCTCTGGAACATGCAACATATAATTGTCCTTCTTTAGGGGTTCCTTTCAAATCTATGATACTATATGTGGCCTATACATATATATGTATGTGAATCATATCTATCTGTATCTATGGCTAGATGGCTTTTGTCAGGAGGGCTTTATGTTTTCTTGCCCTGGTGAAGGGAGTTGGACTGGATGGCCGTAAGGCAGCATTTCTCAACCTGAGGGTTGGAACCCCTGGGGTGTCGTGAGGGGGTGTCAGAAGGGCCGCCTAAGACCACCAGAACACACAGTATTTTCTGTTGTTCATGATGGGTTCAGTGTGGGAAGTTTGGCCCAGTTCTATTGTTGGTGGGGTTCAGAATGCACTTTGAATGTCGATGAACTATAAATCCCAGCAACTACTGTACAATTCCCAAATGTATTCATGCCAAGTTTGGTCCAGATCGTTCATTGCTTGAGTCCACAGTGCTCTCTGGATGTAAGTGAACTACAACACCCAAACTCAAGGTAAATGCCCACCAAACTCTTCTAGTGTTTTCTGTTGGTCATGGGAGTCCTGTGTGCCACATTTGATTCAATTCTAGCACTGGTGAAGTTCAGAATGCTCTTTGATTGTAGGGGAACTATAAATTCCAGCAACTGCAACTTCCAAATGACAAAATCAATTTTTTTGAGTGATGGTCACTCCTTGGGCTAGTAGGTGTCTTGTGGCCAAATTTGGTGTCAATTCGTCCAGTGGTTTTTGAGTTCTGTTAATCCTACAAACTAACATTACATTTTTATTTATATAGAAGATAAGCCACTTTGTGTCCCATCCATGAAAAAAGTGGAATATAAAGCAAATCAGATCAACAAATAAAATGGACTCCATCACCAGTCTGTACTACTCTGTCTAGCACATACTGGAAAGAGGTAGAGGCTTGTGGACTTTTCGTTCCATTTTAGACAGATAAACAAGAATTCACCTAGGAGAACTGCAAGAGTTGCAGAAATGTGCTTTTCCAAGAGGCCAACATGTGATCTGCCCATGATTAACTGAAGTGTTTCTTCAACAGCATGTCATGACACAGCATTCATCTCTGAAAAATAAGTCAGGGGATATCTTTCTGTGCAAGCTAGAGAAGTCCATTTGCCCGAGCTCTTGAAGCTGTGTAATCCCCAGATTTAATATAGCTACACAATATCACTGTTACTCCACACTCCCCAGCTTTACCCCTCTTCATGTCTGCACCATTAAATCTAGGTGAAAAAATAGATTTTGTTTAGGAGGTAGGTTTTATCTATAAAATAGTAGGCTATAGCAACAGTCAGTACGGTCTTGAAAAATACTGTTGCAAAAGAATAAGATATTTCTACCCGAGTGACAGCTGAATTTCACACTGATATTAGTGAATAGTATTATAGTTTGAGTGTTGGGCTCTCCAATGCTAGGGTGCAAATCTCCGCTCAGCCACAGGGTGATCTTGGGCAATTCACACCTTAGAGCAATGTCAAATGCTCTCTGAACAAGTTTTGACCAAAACCCTGTGATAGGTTCACATTAGGGTCACCATAACTTGGAAATGACTTGAAGGCACACAACAACAAATTGCACCTAAATGCAGTAGGATAGTTTTGCAACAGCAGACCATCTATACCAGGAGTGGGCAAACTTTAGCCCTCCAGGTGTTTTGGACTTCAACTCCTACAATTCCTAAAAACTTTTATTAAATGTTGTATTCTTGGTTTATAACCCCAGAGAATTGTCCAAAATGTATACAGTGGTGTCTAATGTTTGCTGGCATTCTGAATGACACAAAATAACATTTTATCAGATTGATTGATTGATTGATTTACAGTATTTATATATCACCATTCTCACCTGAGGGCGACTCAGGCCGGTTCACAAAACGGCACATTTCGATGCCCACAATAATATAAAAACAATTAAAACATTTAACATAAATAAAATTCAGTAAATAATAAAACCAATAAAAACATAGCTCCTCCACATCTCATTACCAAAATCATTATCCAATCGCATTGTCCAGTCGTTCCGAGATCAGGGTTTGTCTGCTACAATGCATTTGAGAAAGCCTGCTCAAAAAGCCAGGTTTTGACTTTTTTACGAAATGATAAGAGGGTGGGGGCTGATTTCATGTCCCTAGGGAGGGCGTTCCACAGCCGAGGGGCCACCGCTGAGAAGGCCTGTCTCTCATTCCCGCTGACCAAATATGTGAAGAAGGTGGGACGAAGAGCAGCCCCTCCCCCCACAAGAACTTAGATTCCTAGATGGTTTATAAGGAGAGATACGTTTGGACAGATAAGCTGTTTATTTTTAATTGTAAGGTGGACACGTCAACTTGACAACTGATGGTTTTTGATTTTTAGAAAGAACAGGTTATTGAAAGAGGGGATTATCTGGATGTTTTATTGAGAGAGACGTGGACAAACTATATACATATAACAAGGAAGTTTCAAGGAAGATCAGAACTCACTCTTTTTCCCTCTCTTCTTTTTCTCTTTTTTTCTTTTTGGTGTGTATTTTTGAACATGTATTTTATGACATTGTCATTTCTTATCTTTTCTTTGTATCTAATTCTTAAGTATTGTAAAACTCTCATAAGAAAAAAAATATACAGTAGACTCTGTATCGTTACCCATAGCAATTGGTAGATACCAGATAAATGTAATTTCTGGTTGCTTGAATTACTACCAAAAATAAGCCTAGTGAGCACTATATCCTATACCAGTGGTTCTCAACCTTTGGGTCCCCAGGTGTTTTGGTATTCAACTCCCAGAAATCCTAACATCTGATAAACTGGTTGGGATTTCTGGGAGTTGTATGCCAAAACACCTGGGAGCCCACAGGTTGAGAACCACTGATCTATACTATACCATGGTATAAACTTTGTATTGACTTGATATCAATATAGAAATACAATAATTATAAGCAAATTCACATTAACAAAGATAAATCTTACTTAATGTAACACAGTATTATTGTTTTGCAAACACCTTAAGGGCCACGGATGCCCTTACAATGTTTATTTGTATTTGCGCTATGCGATTTCCAGATATATCACACTAAAGTGAACATATTGCCTAATTATTATTTTTTCTTCTTCTTCCTTCTCTTCTGAAGAGAGGGGGCATCAAATATATTCTGGATACTTCAGATGTTTGGAGAGTGTATATATAGAAAGAAGGAGCCCTCTTGGATCCCCTTAAGGAGAGTTCTTGAAAGGGTTACCATGAGTGAATGGGATTGCACAACGAATGTGACGTATACAAACCGGGTCACTCCAGTTCTCCGGAGTTGTCAAAATGTAGGGCAGCAGCAGGAAGCCTACGTTGCTCCAAAACAAACAGAACCCAGCCTGGCAGCTATGAGCAGCAGCTCAGCAGGGCTTTCTGGGTTAGGGTCTTTAGGGAGCAAAACTAAGTGATAAATAAAAGGTATTGCCCATAAAATTCTGGATTATACTGACATGCAGTACCTTGCAAATCATACTCTGAATATAGCTTGCCAAGAAAAACTTGTGATAGGTTCACCTTAAGGTCATTATAAGTCAGAAATAACTTGAAGGCACACAACAACAACAACAACAACAACAACAACAACAACAAAGAGGTCTCAAACTCACGTGTGTGAAAAGTGTCTGTGAAGCATCTTTTGGAAATCATCTCCTTAAATCGTCAGCATTAGGTGTGCTCGTACATTACAATGAATATTCCATGACAATGTATATATTCACATTCTATTTGCATTTAGTCTGCATGTCCTCTAAAGTCATGGAGGAAAAACAGTTTGGCACGAGGGTTGAATGAAAAGTAATGCCTCCACCTTCGTTACTTGGGTTTGGATGGGAATATTTTAATAAATCAAACACAGAAATAATCCTTAGAATGTGCTCTTTAACTACCACTATTCAGCTTTCTACATAATCACCAGACAATTGGATACATATCTGCCAATGATGAACAAGTTTTCTGAAGCTGTCACGGAAGAAGTCGGCATTCTGTTTCTGCAACCAGCATCTCACAATTCTCTCAACGTCTTCATCAGAAGCATAATAATGTCCCCACAGATCTTCTTTCATTATCGGGAACAGATGGAAGTCAGACCATGCTAAATCTGGACTGAATGGAGGATGTTGTACGGTGGTAAGATCCAGTCTCTGAAGTTTCAAGTCTGTGTGCTTTCATTTCAGGCGTCAGCATCCTAGGTACCCATCGTGCACAGATCTTTCGATAGCCAAGCAAAGAAATAACGTGACCCACACATTCTTGTGAAATGCCAATTATGCTTGAAATTTCTCTCTGAGTGATATGGCGATCGTCCTGAATCAATCTGTCAACCTTCTGCCTGTGAAACTCGGTGGTTGCTGTCACAGGACGTCCAACTCTTTGCTTGTCACACAAGTCAGATGTTCCCACCTCAACATCTTTAAACTTACTTGCTGAATGATGCACAGTACTTACATCAATACAATCACCATAAACAGCTTGCATTCTCTGATGAATCCCTTTGAGGTGATACCTTCTGTTGTCAATAATTCAATGACTGCACTTTGCTTAAGTCGCAATGACCGACCGTCTGCACAGGTTTCCATACTTTACACTTTAGCGACACAACCGCTCAATGCTAAGGCTTCCCGCCAAAGTGGAACTGTAGAGAAGAGTCTATTGAACATGCCAGTACCTGTTGCATACCAGTACTGCCATCTGTTGAGGAGTTACGTAGGTGGAGGCATTACTTTTCATGCAACCCTCCTACATGTCTTCGTATTCCCGTTGTACCTTCTGGAAATATGCAAAAGGCTTTCTCTGTGTCCCACGATGCACCAGGAGAAATAGGTAAAAATTGTGACAAACTTGCATTGGCACCTCATGTTTAGCCACAGGAAGACCACCAAAGGCTTTTTGTCACCTGGGCGAAATTCTGCAGCTTTTAAAGGTTTTGTGGGAGTGTTTTCACAATGTTTAATTCAGAGTGTTGCTTTAGTCACCACACTTTCCAGTTGTTAAAGGACTAGATGTCTGGATTAATCCTTGCTTCAATGACAGTTTTATTGCACACACATATATGTAAACAACAAATTGTACACAAAATGGTTTTACCTTGTCACCGCTCTAGTGCAGATAGTCACGAGGAAGCAGCCGATGACAATCATCCACCCCCAACCACCATCCGGAGGAGAAGCGCTTAAACCTTTCCTTGCTGCAGCCATGGCTGGGATGGGAAGACTTTCCTTTGGTCCAGACTCACTCTGTAAGACCAATGCCAGTTGACAGGCAAGGTATGCATGGAATGTTACCTGGTGCAAAGATTATTTGACATCTGAAACAAGGGGGGAAAAGTAGGGGAAAAACATCAAAGCTAACGGCACTTTGTTCTGTAAGAAGGTCACTATCAAATAGTTCAATGGAGCCACTACTTTATTGTTTAACATTAAGTTTTATTTTTAACCCCATGGATTCCGGGATGCAAATTCTGTGCATTGTTCAGAACAGCTGACTATGGGCCATATTCTTTGATTTAATCCAGAGTCACTCCATTGATCTTGCTTTGCATTCACATCACCAAAGGCAGACTGAATCTTTACAACTGGCATAATTTTAACCATAAGAAAAACCTTTAAAGCTTCTATCATGTGACAATTCAAAATGAAGGGGAACTCACAAAATCCCAAGCTTCTGAGTTTCAGTACTTAGTTTTTATGTACTGATTCAGAGCAGTCAGTACTTAAAAACTAGGAGCCATGGGTGGCACAATAGGTTAAACCCTTGTGCCAGCAGGTCCGAAGACCAACAGGTCAGAGGTTCGAATCTGGGGAGAGCGTGGATGAGCTTCCTCTTTCAGCTCCAGCTCCCTATGCAGGGACATGCAAGAAACCCCCCAGGAGGATGGTAAAACATCAAAACATCTGGGCATCCCCTGGACAACGTCCTTGCAGACGGCCAATTCTCTCACACCAGAAGCAACTAGCAGTTTCTCAAGTCAATCTTGACACAAATAAACTTAAAAACTGGTGTAAAGTATGGGTAGGTAAGAGAGGGAGACATGCATCTAGACACCCTTTGTTCAAAAATAAGCTCCACTGTGGATCAGAGTTTAGAAAAGTTACTTTTTAGGATCGTAGCTCTCACAATCATCCAGTTATTGGCAGAGTCCAAAAGTTGTAGCTTAAAGAAGCTCTGTCAAGAACTCCACTTTCGGTTTCAGTGCTCCCATCTGCAACAGGAGATAACCATCGCTAGATCTAATCCGTGCGAATCACAAATGATAAATACTACATTTATGACTGCTATTGCTCTGCAAGATACATGCAGGAGCCAATTTTACACATGCATACTCACAAGAGACACATCAAATAGGATTTATTCCCAAGTAACTGTCAATAGAATGATTGCGTCTGAAACCATTTGTATGCATATTTAATTCCAAAATTCTATTTACCCTACTCTCTGTTGGGTAGACATGTGTGGAATTACACCCTGAGATTACCGTATATACTACCAACTTAACCCTTCACTAACAACAAACCAAGTCAGTTTTTTCATGGGTTTTTCGATGATTGTTGTTGTTGCATGACTTCAAGTCATTTCCGATTTCTGACAGTCGTATGGTGAATCTAGGAACCAGCATGGTGTAGTGGTTTGAGCATTAGACTATGACTCTGGAGATCAGAGTTCAATTGGGTTGTGGTAGGTTTTTCAGACTGTATGGCCATGTTCTAGAAGCATTATCTCCTGACGTTTTGCCTGCATCTATGGCAAGCATCCTCAGAGGTTGCGAGGTTGTGAACCTCACAATCTCTGAGGATGCTTGCCACAGATGCAGGTGAAACATCAGGAAAGAATGCTTCTAGAACATGGCCATACAGTCCGAAAAACCTACAACAACGCAGTGATTCCGGCCATAAAAGCCTCCGCCAATATAGGGTTCAGTTTCCTGTTTGGCCATGAAAAGCCATTGGGTAACTGTGGACAAATCACAAACACTCCCCAGTGCCAGAAATCCCAGTGAAAGGTTTGCTTTAGGCTCCAGCACGTAACAAAGGCAAACCTATCATGGAGTTTTCTTGGCAAGGTTTATTTAGAGAAATTTTGGGGGGTTTTCCCCTCTGAGATTGAGAGAGTGTTACTTGCCCAAGGTCTCAAGTGGGAATTTGAGCCCTGGCTTCCTGGGTCATTGTTCTCTACTATTATAAAGCCACACTGAACTTTCATAACTGATACAATAACAGCTAAAAACATGGGTTAAAAACCTTCCTGAAGAGAACACCTTTTAGATTAGAATTTCAAAGGCATAAATAATGTTTACGTACAAAACTGTAAAGTTTGTATTGAACAATTATCACCTTTCTAGATTTTACCCTGAAGAACCAACTTGATCAAGAAGCTGAAAGTTAGCACTCAAGCAAAGCTGGTCACCAGTACATTCCAGAGACTGTCAGCCAAGTTCAAGGGAAGTCTCAGTAGACCGTGCATTCTTCTGCTGGATATCTGCCCAGATTAACATTTCTCCCACTGGTCGCCATTCCACTAATAGAAACGGTTACATGCCTAGATTGATTTATGCCCAGTATAGCGTGCTTACATGCTGGAGAATACTTCCGTGGTTTGTTTGATTAAGAGGAGTGTTACAATCCATTTTTACTTGTGTTGATTTTTTTAAAAAAAAACACTACTGTCGGCCTCTATCAAAAACCAAAGAAACCTCAACCACTGAGTAGGTGCAGGTCTTCTTTTCTTATGAAACAGGAAGGATAATAATAATAATAATAATAATAATAATAATAATAATAATAATAATCGCACAGACGGACTACACACAGACAGACTACAAACAAAGACACAACTCTGTGGCCCAGATTATTCACTGGAACTTATGTCACAAGTACCACCTGCCAGCAGTAAATAATTGGTGGGATCATAAACCCGCAAAGGTTGTGGAAAATGAATATGCAAAATTACTGTGGGACTTTCTAATCCAAACTGACAAAGTCTTGGAACACAATACACCAGACATCACAATTGTGGAAAAGAAAAAAGTCTGGATTATTGATGTCGCCATACCAGGTGACAGTCGCATTGAGGAAACACAACAGGAAAAACTCAGCCACTATCAAGACCTCAAAATCAAACTGCAAAGGCTCTGGCATAAACCAATACAGGTGGTCCCAGTGGTCATCGGCGCACTGGGTGCCGTGCCAAAAGTTCTCAGCCGGCATTTGGAAACAATAAACATCGACAAAATCTCGATCTGTCAACTGCAAAAGGCCACCTTACTTGAATATGCGCGCATCATTCAAAAATACATCACACAGTCCTAGACGCTTGGGAAGTGTTCGACTTGTGATTTTGTGATACAAAATCCAGCATATAGATCTCGTTTGCTGTGACATACTGTGCTTTTGTGTCAATAATAATAATAATAATAATAATAATAATCTTTATTTATACCCCGCCACCAGCTCCCCAAGAGGACTCGGGGCGGCTTACATGAGGCCAAACCCGGCAATACAATACATCAGTATAAACCAACACAGCAATAATATATAACAAAAAATAAAAATATAATACAAAAGCATATCATCAATAGATGACTACTTCTTTCCTGTCTTCTTCCCTAACTTTTTTTTCCATTAGCCATCATCCTTCCTTGTTTTCTATGTCCCTTATTCCTTGATAAAATCCTTAGATACGGAGGACTGACTTCATTTGCAAACATTCTTGCCAAGACACTATGTTCACACACACACTATATGGAAATTTCTGGTTCAATGCCTGTCTCATTGCAGTTTAGATCCTCTTTCCATAACTCAACCAATCTTTGCTTCAGTTTACATTGTTTTTCGATTATTTTCCTGCATATGAAACCCATCACGTCTTTCTCCTTCTCTACCATTTTAAAATTTGATCAAAATCTGTTTCTGGGTTTAACTGAATCAAAAAATTTAAACATATAAGGACCAGAGAAACACAATGGAAAATATTAACCAAATGGTATAGAACCCCACTTAAATTAGCCCATATAACTAAATCAACATCAAAATTATGTTGGCACAAATGTAGTGAAATTGGCTCTTTTATGCACATGTGGTGGGACTGCGATAAGATAGAAACATTTTATAATAAAATAACAAAGAAGGAGAAGATGGAAGAATTAAGAGGGCAAAAAGTAGAGCTGAATAAAAGGCAATGTTTTACCCAGATAATAGATGGTAAGGGCAGCATTAATGGGTTGATATCACAAAATATATGATAGAAGTTGCCCAAGCAACTCTAACTCAGGATTGGAAAGAACATAGAATGTGGGAAATGAAAAAAAAGTTTGAATATTTAGCTTCATGCTCAAGGATTGCATTTTCGAAAGGAGAATGAAATACACAACAGGACATTTCAAGAACTGAGACTCTAAATAGGAAATTTTGAGAGCTAGAGTAAAGGGGAATAGAAAATACAAAGAATTGAATCATACTCTCTTCATAATAGATCAGTGGTTCTCAAACTGTGGTCCGGGGACCACCAGTGGTCCGCAAAAACTAAAATACGGTCCACGGCCTCACTATTACTACTCTGTTGCAATGAGAGTGACTGATCTTGTGAAACCCTCTTTATAGTGCCAAGGCAATGGGGATGTCAGGAGGGGAGAGGCTGGCTACCCACGAAATGTGCAACAACAAGCCTCCTGACTGCTGCTTCTCCTCCTCCTCCCTCCCCCTGAGCAGAGCCATTCCATGTGGCTCCTAGAAGCGGGGACACCTTGATGTCTTCATTTTTAGGCCTGTTTCTGGGGTTATTTGGAGTGCTGATTCAGAAAATTGCATTGGATAGACCACATCAGCTCCAAATTATTAAATACGATTTTCTGTGGGTGAGCAAATGGCGACTACTGGATGTCATATATTCGGTATCAGGAACTAGAGCTGATGTGGTCTATCCAATGCAATTTTCTGAATCAGCACCACAAATAACCAAACCAAATCTAAGGTTGACCAAAAACTGATTCGTAACCCTTTTGGTACTAATGTTGGAAAATTGTCCCTGGTCAAAGTGGTCCCTGGTCAAAAAAAAAATTGGGAACCACTGCAATAGATCAATTAAAATAACACTTGACTTGAGGATGCAACTGTTCCTAGAGGGCGGGGGATGAGGGAGTGAGGAAAGAGGAGAGAAAAACTGATGGACACAAGTGGGAGATAAGTGTTGAATTGGTAAGGTTTGGCAAACAGGACATATCAAATTGAGAGAAAATTTAAGTGGAATTTCATTATATATTTATTCTATTTAACCTTGTGGGATTGTTATTGAGATTCGTATTATTCTATTTGT